AAGTCCATAGTGAATTACTATACACGCAGCTCTTGTGAATTTTGACAATTAATATTCATACTATACATATACCCAAAGAAATATTGTCTCAAGAAACAATGCCGTGTATTTCATAAATACTAGAAAAAAAAATGAGAATCTGGTTTAGTGTATACTAATTAACGTACTATACATGTAAAATTCTCTTACCCCTCTGACAGCTCGTGTTATAATAAAATCTATTCAGGAATGTGCTTCGAATTATTCCTACGATTTGTTCTCTCCCTCTCTCTTTCTGAGCTGAATTTCAAGTGAAATCGGGTACTTTAGAAGTTATACGCCTTCCGAAACGGAAGTCCGTAGGAAAAGTAAACCAATTTTTTGGATTCATACTTTTTTTTGAAAGTTTATTGGTACATTATTGTAATTTAGTTTTCTTAAATACTTCCTCTATAGCAATATTTCGTTTTAACAAATATAAATACATTTTTAAAAATCAACCTTTGCATAAAGTTTTTCTTTGGAGAATTCCATAGCTTAAGCATAGAACATTGACATGAAATAAATCGTTTTTCCTCTTGAGCCAGATAGAGCAATTCAAAATTCGTTTCAGTTTTTCAAGTCGTATTGATTTGCGCACTGGCAAGATATATATATACATATATATATACGTTTGGAAACCATCTAGAGCACACTGAATCTTTGTATCTTCAAATGCAGGCGACCTAGTTCCAGGATATACCTGCACAGAATCTTTGGAAAGATAGTACTTCTTGGTTTTCTCTGTCTTCAATATCAAATCGACACTTCTAAGAAACTATTCAGATTCAATCGTCCATTCAACTTTAAATCTGTGATGCAACTCATGGATGCAATTCTCAATATATGTATATGCACCATAGAAAATCATTTCTCTGAAAATGCATTTTTATATTCTAAAATCTTTTGCTGAATCATAATTTCTTTTGATTTTTAGTCAAATAATTTTGTTTATTGTAGTTATCATTGCTAAAAATTGTAATATAAAACTCATTTTTCTCGGTTAAAGTGATAAACAATTAGGAAACAAAGAAAGGAAAATATTTGTGAAAATTATAACAATTTTATCTCTCTTCCTGTTTGAAAAAGATCTCATTAAGTGAGGAGAGAAAGAGGTTTTGCAGTGCGAACTGTTATTAAATGTAAATTTAGGGCCATATGCTTCTGGCGTTGGGTAATTTTTAGATAATTTCACAAAGCGAAGATGAGAGCACACAGTGCTTTCGCGAGGTGAAAGGTCATTAGTGACCTATTCTGAAACACTGTCGCTAATGTACTTGATGCCTACTTGGAGTGCTAATAGTATACGTCTGATTAGATTAGTCGGAAACGAGTAGGTACTATATATATTCCTCTATTACAATTGAAAGAGGATATCTCCCAATTGAGCCAATTTACATACTTTCTAAAAGAATTTATATATTTTATTTGAATAAAAATCATTCATTACAGCCAATTTTGAATAAAGAATTTTTCATATTGCAAATTCAAAGTTAATATTTTGAAACTATTTTTATTTACAGTCGGAAGTTAAAAGCATATTTTTATTATGTATCAGAGAATAAACTATTTTTTTTTGTTGATCTATCATTAATCTTTTCCGTTGAGACTCTGGAAACTATATATATTGGATTGCATTCTTGCAAATGCGGTTTTATGTGAAAGTCAATGTATTCCTGTTTATATGTGGTTCTCACAAAAGAGATTTGATGTCAGAGGACGTGGCTTCCTGTTCTGTTTCAATTGTGCTCGTATATGTTACAGTGTTAGCAAGCTAAACACGTGTTCAAGATTCATATATTAAAAAAAAAACTTTTTAAAAATTCTTTTTTTACTATTTTATTAATTTGTATAAAAATCAAACTCATGATATGTAAAAAAAAATGTATATAGTTTTTAATGTATAACTTTTTGACATCCATAGAATGTTCCTGATTCAACAACTCTCTCTCTTTATGGGATCATAATTAAGTTTTAATTAATCTTCTCTATTCAAAAAGGCTCTGTTTTAATTAAAAAGTTTTCAAAGTATATAAACAAGTTCTACACTGAATTGCTCTCAATGCAACTGCAATTAAAAAGAACTCCTTATCAAAAACCGACATTCATGAAACTTTCTACAATCCAAGAGGCAATAAAAACGGATCAATTTTCACGAACTCTTCTTTTTTTTTTGTTAAGAATCTACATGATTTATTGGATATTTCTTTAAGGTATCTTTTTGTAAGTCGTGATTCTTAGGATGGATAGTAGTAGTAGACAAAAGTGTAGCAGTAGCGTTGATGTATTTATGGCCTTTTAGTCTTATGAGATAGGGAGCAACATAGTGTATAGGAGAGTTTTGATGATAAATCAGTATTATAGTTTCGCGAAAGTTGGATTTGTTGGAATGAGGCGTTTTAACGGTGCGGGTGTCGCTGTGGTTATATTCTCGTGCCAGTTTCATCAGCCGCGGGATAGAATTTACAATACATGAATAAAGGGATGTTGTATATGTGTTAGAATGGAGTGGATACCATCCCAAATTCACTATAGCCTATTTCCCTTTCCAAATCTCCCTTTACTTTTGGTCCATTCGCTTCTCTCCCGTGTCCTCCTGAGCCAATGCTCGTTTCCTATCTCGGATAACGAGTCACTACTCAACCACTAATGAAATGCATTGCGGTCAAATCGAGAAACTTTTCATACACATTGTTAAATATTATTGCAATATATGTCATTTTAATTATAGAGTTTATAGTGTGCAAACTAATTAGTTTTATATACATTTAAATCTCTTTTGTAATTCCAAAATTAATTTCTTTTTCGAAAGAAATAGTTTTTTTTGCGCATCATAAAAAAACTAAACAAGGATCTTTTGTTTTATAAATGTTGCAATATATCTCGTGTTATCTTATCGTGAAATGAATATTGATCTCGATATATAGGTATTTACTCTACTAATATGGAGAAATGGCATGCACAATGGGAGTATGTTTGCAGCTGCGAAATCGAATCTCGTGAGACATAACTGCTGCTTTATGTAGTTAACTATATATATATATATATGTTATTCTTGGTAAGATATTCTATTCACAAATGTTGTATCGCAAACTTTTAGTTGTATAACTTAATACATCAGTTTATCGAATAATATTGTAGAAATTAGACTTGGAAATTTTTATTTTGTATATACCAGAAAAAAGAGTGGAAAAACTATAAATATACACGTTAGTGATAATTTACAAGAGGGGGTATCGTCGCGCTTGTTGCATTAATCTTAAAAGTTCCTGAGGCGCCAATTCTCTCACAAGAGGAAAGTCGTTTCGCTTCTCTCGCGAATTGCAGGCACGTGGGATACAAATTTACATGTCTCATTGAAGCAACATCATAACACTACAAGGGTATATTCAAAATTGCATATATTTTTGTTTATGGAGTTAAGTGAGCTTGATTTTTTTTTCGTATCTCTTTCAATCTGAGTAGGAACATTATTTATATACAATTGTGAAAAATTTCGGGAGTTAATGCGGCAACCGGAGTTGGGAGTAAAATTGCAGTTAAAAATCATTATTGTTTCTTCAAAATGGGTAAAAGAATTTAAATTAATTTTATAGACAATGTTTCATTTTTCAAGTCTTTATATTTTTGTGAATGAATAGCTTCGTAAATGAGACACGTTCACTGGATATATATGTGCAGGGGTTCTCGACCCATTTATTAACAATGAGAGTGGCTTTTTAGTACTAGATACATAAAGCAGGCGACAGACTGCAAAAATGGTGTAACCACAAGTTCAATACTTCTCAGTCAGAATTTATATGATTTTGAAGATATGCCATTTGGTTTTTTAAATCATAGTGTTTCAAAATCAATAATATATTTATGAAACTTTTAAGTTGATGTGCTTATCGCTTTTACTAGAGCAAAGAATTAAAATGAGGCCGATTTTTTGTTCGAGAAATTGGAGTAAAATCAGTGCAATTTTATTTTTTGCATAAGTTTAGTTTTATATTTAGCAATTTCTAGAGTTTTTAGATTTTATTAACTGGTACATAGAGAGGCTAAAAAAGCAGTGTTTATACTATTCTTCATTGAGGATTTTTAATGTTCTTGGATACTTCCTCTGAAGTTGAGAATTTCTTCTCTGAAAAATTCTGTGAATTTACGCTTGAGTACGCGGAAAGAATTTAGAAGTAGTTTAAATCGAAAATTTATGTACAATATTGCCGCTTCCGGATTAATTCCTTCGGGAAAATATTCGATAAAGATTTAATAAACGTAGTTTAGCGTTGTTTAGGATTAGTATGTTATATTTTTTTAATTAAAAGAAAAAAATTAGTAAATACCTGAGCCTAGGTAATTTTAGTATAAATTAAAAAAGTTTTGCTTTATTCTATCTGTATTAATTGTTTAATTTAATATAAAGTCAATGGTTTAATATATAATTTTCTTTTCTTAGAAAGACATAACTGTTCTCTAAATCGAGTGTTGCCTCCTGTTATTAATGGTGATCATGAATGTCAGTTTAAAGAATACGAACGTCACAGCAATTGTCAATTGGTTGAATCAAATGAAGATTGATTTGAATATCCTAATAGTTATATTTTATATTTGCTGTTTTGTAACAGTGTTTGACTAAAAGAAATTGTTAATGGCAATGTCATTTGACTTAATTATAATATTGTTATGGACCAAAAATTAAATTAAGATTAAATTATTAGTTTCTAATCATATCAAGAATTGAAATATTTCGAGAGAAGAAATAGAGTGTTGAAAATAACGAAATTACCTTTGGATGTATATTGTTTATGGTAGCTACTTACAGATCGTTAGGTTGGCAGAAATTACAGAATAGGTTATTTAGGGTTGTTAGAAAATTCATGAGAGAAGGGTGATGTTAGTAAAACAAGAATAATAGGGTACAAACAAACAATGAAAAACACTGCGTCATAAGAAGAATTTTGATATAGAGTTGGTTTGGACTTATTCCTTCGACTCACCTCTTCGAGGAGTTGAAACAGCTTGCTCTCAAGACTTTTTTTTTCTTTCTTTTTTTTTGCTCCTAGTATACGCGAGTTCTCTTGCTCAAACTGAAAACAGAATAAAAAAGACTCTTCATTCCGGTGCACACAAGATTACGGTATAATTGTTGGTTTCCTGAGCTTTAGCCAATGAATGCACTTACAGCATATAATTGTAAGAAAGAGAAAAAAAAATAATATACGAATTTAAAAAAGAATTAGTGATATTTTAAAATTTTTTCTTAATTTTTTTTTTTTAATTTATTAATCTTTTGTCATAATAATCAAATTGTATGATGGAGAATTACTGCCATATGGAGAATTTGATGATTAGTTTATAATTTTTCTATATACTCGCGTTGAAAAAAAAAGAATTTCTTGACGACTTGTGAAAGTCGATTTGAAAGAAAAACCCCTCGGGAATTACGATAAGCTCCAAGCCCCTTGAAAAGACATTTTTCGCAGTTGGTGGAATGCCTGATGTTATCGACTTCTTGAAGATGCTTCAATGGTCTTTAAATTCGAAAAAATTTAACGCCTTCATTGACCAGTGACTTGAGATTAATGCTCACTTTATTTACCCATAAAGCTACTGTCTATATATAAAGGAAATGTATATGTATATATATATTCTTCAAATTTTTTCTTTCCTTATAAAAAATATTACAGGAATTTAGTTCCTATCGTTTTCTTTTTCACAAAAAAAAACATTTTTTTAAAATTAATTGTAAATTTTCATATGATGATTTTTAATGAAAGACAGACATGTATGAATAATTGGATAGTTATTTAAAGAAAGATTAACGCCTGATATGCATTTCTTCCTCCTGATTATCTCTCGATCCGTGAAGAGATATCACGCTTCTTTAGCCTGAATTTTATTTTTTTCTGATTTCTCATTTCCAGTCATACCGCAACCGCAAAAATAACGCGATACTTTGCAAAATCCAATTCTGCTTCCGCAGAATAAGTGTCAGAATGAAGGTCATACGATTATGGCAAATACAACACAGAAGAGTGGTTCTTAATGTCGAATTTGACGTTTGATTTTGAAAGGATTTCGAGCTCATTTTAAGAATGCAATGAAAATTGTTCTTGAAACGGTTCAACAATTTAAATAAAACAGCTGCCGCTGTAGGTTATTCTTTTATTGAACACTTGAAATTTTCTTTTTTTATTTTCTATTATTATTTAGTATTGTCTAAATAATTTCTGTATATATACTAATATCACATTAAAATAATGAAAAAGGACTAAAGAGGAAAAGCATGTTTATAGCATAATAAATTTTTTTTAAATTAGATGATATGTAGATAAATTAATATTAATTATACTTTGTGGATAGGAGAAAACAAGGGACGAAATAATAAAAATGCGTCTAGTGCATTGTTTGAATATATGTTGAGTACCACCTCGTTTATCATAAGATGCAATGATCCATCAAGTTAGTGAAAAAAAGGCATTGTGACACTTTTATTATCTTGTGCGACACGCAATGTTTCAAACCCACTACTACTCCACCAAAGCCTCTCTTTCTCTCTCTCTCTCTCTCTGTTGTAAATTGTGAGAAACTCATAAGCCCTGTTCTTTTTCGATTTTGTTACTTTTCTTACGACCCTTTTTTTATTAACTCGTTTATATACCTGTATATGCATTTCTGTTTCGCGAAACGAATTTAAATCAAAGAGCACATAAAAAATGTTCATAAATTCCTCATAAGTAAAGAAAACTTTTTTATTTATTAAAATAATGTTTTTTTATTTTCTTTATTTCTGCAAATTTTTAGAACAGTTTTATCAGTTTTTGAAAATATAATTAGATATGCTTAGAAAAATACAGACGAAATGGAAATATAAACAGGAACCCTTTTGCTATTTTTAAAATTGCCAGTATGTTCTCGTTTACGATATATAAATTATCAAGTAATTTTACTCGTGTAGTAATTCAAAGCTATGGGGCAATGATTCTTTGACAAGCTGGATTATAGTGAATCAACACTTCATTATTTAACTCTATCTTAATATCCATCGAGAAAATTAAGTTAGAAGTTTATATTACTTCCTAATTCCATTCTCTTTTCGCACAGGAAACATTTTTGCTCTTCTTGTTTCATTAAGAATTTATTACATATAAATAATTTACAATTATAATTTACCTTGAATAATATTTGATCTTTAAATTATAATATAATTTTAAAAAATTCAAGAAGCAAATAATAATTCTTCGATCGATTGTAAATTAGATTTTATTTTTCATATATATTTTTTCGAGATAATAGATTAGAACCGGAAATTGCATCGGATGCACGTTAATATAATGTTGGTATCGTTTGCCAACCACTCTGTAATTATTATTATTATTATTACTATACTTTTTTGCACTTTAATGAGTCGTTTGTTTTTATTGTCCTATAATTTTAATATAGTGACACAATATAAATTATTTTACCTATAAAAAACAGAAAAACGAGAGAAATTTTTATTGGTAGAAATCACGTTTTGAAATAAATAATTTTTCTCATTAAATAAAAAACATATATTATTAATTTTCATTTGAGTAGGAACTTTTTCAATTTTCCAATTTTCTCCCCCTCTATATAGTTAGTGTGATGTAATTAAAGGTGAATGCGAGTTCTAATGTCGGTATACTTGTAAAATTAGTAGCACTGAATTGAAGCTGTGCGAGCACATCGAATCGTAATTTTCAAGATAATGGCCTCCTTTTATTCTTGCCGAGAGGTGATATAAATAAATTTCTGGAAGCTCGCACACACTGTAAGCGTAACTTTATAGAGTGAGAATGAAAATATTTTCCACTTGATATAATAATAAAAAAAATCTGTGGCAATATTTTTTTACTTCTTTTTAAATTTTTCAAAATTACGAAATATGTTAGATAATATTTTAAAGTATTCTTAAAAATAGAAGGTTATATATTCAATTATTTCAACCTAAATGGAATGTTCCTGATCGATTTACTAAACATCCAAGGAAGTTAACAATAAAGCGCTTGATAAAGTTACCATTATCCTTAACTGAAAGTGAATGGTTAGTTTTCGCCCCTAATGAGATTGTAGAGTTTGGTGTTTAAATGCGGTAGATTTCAGATATATAGAAACAGTGGTTTTGAAACAGACTTTAACTTGGAATTTTCAATGAGAGCAAAAATAATACAAAACCACAAAGTGCTCCCGTTGTAAAGCTTTTGCACGACAAAGAATAGAAATTTATTAAATCCCAGAAACATACATGAACAAAGGAAATGTAGTTCTGCAAATTGCAATTTCACTTTATTGAGTTTGAATTGTATTTTTAACCTCATATTCCACAAGGATTTGATTTTATTTCTTGCCCGTGCAAATACGAACAATTTCGATAAAGGCGACAACGACGACGACGACGACCGAACCTTTTTGAAACAAATAATAAAATATTGACAGGTTTCAAAGCCACTTTAAGATATATCATTTTTCAATTTTTTTTTTATCAAAAAGGAATTGATAATAAATATATATCATGTAGAATCCGTTAATTTAAAAAAAAAAAACTGAAATGTAAATCATTTTTTAAAAAACGTTTTCTTCTTCTTTTTCGTGAAGACCTGGCAATATCCAGTACAAAGGCCGAAAACTTCGATATTACAGAGTTTCGTCTAGACGGCATTCCTGGAGGGAAAAGAAATCTCCCTCATTCCAGGTTATATGTATGTAGAAAAAAAAAAAAAGAAGAATTGCTTGTATATAAAAAAGCACTTCACTTTAAATTCCGTTTTTTTATTTTAGGATAGACTTAGAATTTTACGTGCAAGGAAAAGTTTAATTACATCTCTTTTTACAAGTTCAAGGTCTTAAAAAAAAAAAAAAAAAGATTTCGAAAAATAATAGAGTGCGGTGTCAAGGAAAAATTTTCTTTTCCCTTTGGAAATTTATATACGTACGTGTATTACATCAATTAACCGCAGATGTGGAATTTGTGGTATCCCTGTGTTGGTATTTTTTGTCTGAAATAATAAAGGCCGTTTTCTCGTTAGCTCCCTCTATATAGTAAAGTACTTGGGGCGAGTCTTATTACGATTGACGAGCCTCTGAATTGACCTCGTAGTCTCAAGGTGTATGCTTTCATAAATTTTCTATACCAAAAATATTTTTGCGAGAGGAAAAAATTTATCATCTATAATATTTCCGTGAGTTTGAATATTGAATAAATCTAAATTATTTAAATCGAATTTTCTCTTTTTTTTATAAGTCCTTGAATTTGTGTGAAATTCTTTTGCTTCATTATTATATAGAATTTTGCCGAGTTGTGATTATTTCAAGCAAAAGTGCGTTTAAGATTTTGTCATATATTTCTTCACGTTCTTTTTTTTTGTAAGAAATATAATTTAAATGTAAGATTTCGCATTTTTACGTAAAAATACATTTGCGAATCAAAGATAAAATTGCTTCTGATCATATAACAGAAGCTTATATATAGGATTTCTAGAGAAATATTATTTGAAGTGAAAATAAACCCTTGTAGAAGCAGTTGAATTGAGATTATATAATCTATATTGATATCAAAAGAGATTGCTTTTTGTTATTCGTTTCTGCTTTCATTCAAACTAGAAACATTTAGAAAAATATTGAAATAATTTAATAAATGAAGAGCTTTATTCAAAAATTGTTTGGTGTAAAGAAAAGATGTATGTACTTGAAGAGAGGAAACATTTAACAAACTGTTAGCCTTTTTTTCAATCTGCGGATGCGGTTAAATTTTTTTTACCATTTTGTTTTCGCACATGTGTGATTTTGCTATTTCAAAGTAGAGGAGGATGGCTTTTCAAATATTTACAATCGAGCATTGACGGATTTACACACTTGGCGTTTAGGCAAAGCACGTGTGCGAAAAGGTTACTGCACGGGCAATCGTTTGGTGTCTCTGGTTGTATAGATACGTGCGCTTTTTACCTATATAATATATACTGAAGAATGTGAAATCGAAAGAATTCTGAATACAAGGCACAAAGTGTGCTCTGACTGTTCATCAGAAAGGTATACTTATTTTATGAGAGAAAGAGAGAAAATTTAAATATCCATTACGAAGATAATTTCCATAGAGAAAGAATTTTCATTGCTCATTATATTCTTAACTTCTGCGTAACTCAAGATTTGATTTTACATCTTCAATAAAACAAAAAAAATGGAGAATTGTAGGATTCTAAAAAAGTCCCAGGTTTTTAGATTGTAGTCTCAATTTCTTTGATTGTTTAAAAATTCAAAAATGTTTTATTATAATTACAGAAAGCAGCAAGGATCATCAGGATGAGAATAACAAGAAAACATTACACCATTGACATGGACCCCATGTTTATATAAATAACCTCTGATGGGTAGTGTTAGTGCTTCCATAAATGAAAGAAGCGGATCGAACCCCAATCATCAAACAGACTCTGTGACCCCACGAAACGACAAACATTTCAACCCTCGGAGGATGCAACTACAACAATGGATGACGTAACGTTTTCCAAAGTCATATTACCCAAAGGATGCTAATACCCTAATCATCAAAGGAATTAAGAAGCTTCCCAAGTAAGAAAGGACGAACCCCTAATCATCGTATTTTTAAAATCTTCATAGGAGAAGAAAATCATTTGATTACGTGTATAGTGTGAAAGTCTTCCTAGAGAAAATCATTGGTTTAGTGTTGTGATCAAGTGTTGAAAGTGTTAATCGAAAGGTTTGAAAATCTTCTTAGAATGAGAAAATGTGTTGTGATCAAGTGTTGGAAAGGTTTGAAAATCTTCTTACGAGAAAATGTGTTGTGATAAGAAAGTGAAGTCAACAAATTTAAATAGGTCAATAAAAGTGTTTAGTGTGTGAAAATTAAATTCAGTGAAAAATATTGTGAAATTATTTTCAAGAAAGTTTTGTGTGTTAAAGAAAAATTACACATTGTACCATGGGAAAGAGATAAATCTGCAACAGAAGGAAGTAGCCGCTGCAGAGTCATTGCTACATCAAAATGATTATATATCTACAATCGGTGAGTGTTTTTCATACATAATTTTACCATAAAAATTAATATTACGTGAATTTATAAAAAAGATGATAATCATTTTTCAAGAATTGTGTATAAACAAGCTTTTTTGCGCGCTTCGCGAAAGTATATAAATATAAAGTCTTCTTTAATATATACTTTCTTCTAGAGTTTCGAATATAGAAGTTATAAAAGACACTATACAGACTTGCTTTTCATTCTATATAGAAATTCTCATTTAAAGAATCTGTAGAATATATAAGATATAAAGCAAAAACGTTAAATGGGCCCTTCTAGACTTTTTCAAGTTTATCTCTCCAGACTTCATTCGTATAACTAATTAATAAAAAAAAAACTGTTATATTGCCTTTGAATAAACCAAATGCTTTTCTGTAACGATCCCAAGAAGTATTTGTGTAGAGAACATCAGGTAATAAATTTATTACGATGAAATTTACAAAACAGGTTATTAGTAAACATATTTCGCGTTATCAAAGGATACTGCTGCTAGGTAATATCAGACCAATATATTTAGGTACTATGTGGTTTACTTAGTATGGAACATTAATGTTTTATTATTATTATTATTATTATTATTATTATTATTATTTTATTATTAAAAATTATTAAAAATTATTAATAGGAAATTAATTTTTTTTAATCAATCTTTTGTAAAGCATATAAAACAACTGTTTCTGTAAAGAAACATTTTTTTTGGGGCTTTTTTTCACAATAAAGTATACACGCGATACAGTATGACTCATCGTAGGTACTAAAGTCTATCAGAAACTCGATCTTCGCACTACTCACGTACCTGCTTGTGCGAGTTTGCTTGCCAATAAAACAAATTTTTTAACAACTTATAATCTTTCCTGTTGGTTATGGTTATTTACTGTATATGCATAATTTTAGAAAAAATGTTTATTATATTGATTAAAATCTTTATTTTCTTAAATATTATAGTAAATTTTATTTTCAATTTTCATTTTTTATAAGATGTATCTTGATCAATAATAAGTATACAACTCGCTAGAATCTATAAAAAGTATGACAGAAAATATATATAAAAAGTATATAACAAAATGTGAACTAAACTAAGAAGGTCACAAAAATGTAGGAATAAAAATGTTATTGGAGCTTTGAGATATCCTTTAAAAGTTTAAGAGCCTCTGTCTCTTAAGTCATGTAGGTGTAGTAACTTTTCAAGTAGCTCGATAAATTCTATACGTAACTTCTTGTACAAGTATACATATATATGTTTTATGATATTGTTATTTATGATATATATTCTTATAGAAAGAGGGAAGATTAAATTTTTTTTGATATTTATAAATTATAAAAAATATTAATTTTTTTTTAAATTTAATTAAATGATGATTGGAAAAGCTTTGAAAAGAATATTTAAAAGATGCTTTTTTTATTTAAATAATAATAAATTTTTTTTTTTATAAAATGAATAACATCACTTTTCCGGGGTCAGGAAAACTAAAATAAACGTGTTCTAGTTGAAAGACATGTAACCATAAAGGCATTATATGCAACATTACGTATTTTATGGGGCGAACAAGCTAAAGGTTACGGAACGATACACGTACACTTTATCCTACTCATAACGCAGATTATACTTGAATTTTTTCTGTTTTGTTTTTTGTGGGTTAATTTTTTCATATAGAATTTTACTAAAATTTATATTATAATTAAAATAAAATTTTCTTATTTTTCTTCCATTGTTGTCTAATTTTGTCTAAATCGAGTTTTTTCGGGTATACAATTTTTTTATAATAGAAGATTTTAATTCAATAGAATAAATTAATTCGTGAATATTTGCGATAATCAAAAATTCAATTAAAAACAGTTAAGCGATATGATTGTGCGGTTAATCGAAGGGTGCGCAGGAGATTATATTATAACGAAAGAAGTTTGCAGCAATGTGTATGTGAATTGTATATAGCTAGCAACGACGTGTATAAATTCATTCATTCATTCATTTGCTTGAAAATCACGAGGCCGTCCTGGTTGAATTTAAAATGTGATTAAAAGAGTTTTGCTACGAATTCCGCGCATATATGAACAGAAAGCGACAAAAAAAAAAAAAAAAAAAACGCTTAGGAAAAAAATTAAAAAAACATAGAATCAGTTTTAAAAAAATTTATCAATTTTCAGGATTTATAATTAAACATTTAAAAACATTTGTATACACTGTTAATAAAGTTAAAAATTCTTTAACGAGCGCAATTTTTCTATACTATTATATTTACATCCTGCTGGCGAGTAAAACATTTTCTTGTAAATTGGGACAGATTTATGTCAACTTGCACAAGTTTTATTCCATTTTAATTTAATGAACAGCTTTTAGTCTAATAACGACTCATTCTTAATCTTTAGTTTTAATGATATGTTTTTCGCAATTTGAGTGGTTACTGTAATTTTTTCGTAAGTTAAATAATTTCTAGTATTAAAATATATAGAAAGTGAGGTCTTATTCATTTTCTAATGAATAAAAAGGAAATGTATTTTTTGGGGATTTTCTTGTTTAAGAGGGAAATTAGTTTTATTTTCTGAAACAGTATAAGGGGGATTTTGTGTTGGCATGACTCTTTGTGTCGTTAAATGTTTTTCGTGTGGTCTACATCGTTGCAAGAGCTTTTTATTTTTCTTACATTTCACGCGTTTACTGAAAGCGCATAACGATTTCTTTTTCTCTCTCGGCAAAAAAGTTTCTTCTCTTTCTTATAAACATTTTCAAGTGTTGTAACAAATTACCTATTCAAGGATTTCTGTTGTGGCAATTATGTAGGCACAATTTGACCAGTTTTCCGTGTTAATAATATTCCACACCAATTCAAAAAGTAAATTTTTTACATTAAAAAAAAAACACATTATTTTAAAATGGAATGAGGCTACGTTTTTCTAGAAAAAAATAGTTGAGAAAAATTAAAAGATCATGAAATAGGAACAAGATTTTTTTCCTCTGCAAAAAAGAAATATAAAATATTTTGTGCTAAATGTTGCCAGTAGAAAATTCTATTGTAGTAGTTTATTGAAATGAAAATTTTCTCTTATTACTTGTTTCCTTGAGAATTGTAGAATAAATACAACCATTCGCATGACACGAGCAATCTCGACTCTTATATTATTTCTTTCTGGCGCGAGAGCAAAAAAAAAAAAGAAGACGAGTAAATAAAGGCACGCAATTTCATTTTCTTTTTCGCGAAAATACGCAAAATGGATTCTCATATAGCGTTAGAGATAAAAGACACACTGCGAGGGTAAAAAAAAGTATTTGAAGATTCGAATAATACAGTAAATTGTCTTTAAAAATCGATCGAATAAAAATGTACTTCACTTTTTAGATAATAGATTATTATTTATTAAATTATTTAAAAAAAAAATAAATTGAGCACTTTAAATGATGCTAAATTCAATAAATGCCAGTCGATCGTATAAGCATTCAATATCGTGATTTAATCTTCACAAAAGAAAAAAAAATGAAGCATAAGGATGTTGAGCACCAATTAGCAGAAAGATGAAGGTGAACACAACTAAAAGAAAACACTGGGTGTTATAGGGAGAAGGAATAAGACAAGGAATATAATTGAATCGCTCGAAGGGGAAGTTATACGTTGACTTTTTTTTTAACTAGGAGCAAGTTATATCATAAACCGAGTTATCTGACTGTAATCTTGTTATCCTGGATATAGTAAACGCGAAGCTTTAGAAAATATCTCGTTTTTCTTTTTTTTAAATTACTTTCCAAATTAGTGGAAGATTAAAGAATGAAAAACTGCCTTCTGAATCACTTCAACAAAAATTGATCAAAATTTAATTTCTAAAAAGAAGAAAAATAATTTAATAATAATAATATAATAATAATATACATATATTACAAATATACATTTAGAAATGCGTTAGTTTTAGCAACGAATTTTGAATCAGAAATTCTTTTCAAAAAAAGAATAAGGGGAAAAAAATTTGTTCCTTAAAACTTTACATTTTTAAAAGAGTTATAAAAGTACTATAAAGTACTTACACAGAGTTCACATAGATACTTGTCTCGTTGTCAAATAATGATCTCAGTCATTAGGCGTGAAAGGTATATATATCGGAAAAAGTTTCTGCAGTCGTAGGTGCCGGCACACGTTAAAAATGGAATTTTCAAAGCACATTGGACTGTTAGTACTGTGTGAGAGTTGAACGGAAGTGAGAGTAAATGTACTATCTTCTCAGCAACGTGGTCAGGAAGTGTGACAGAGATATATATTTTTTCTTATCACATTTTCTTCCTGAGCATCAATTATAATATCAGGATGTGTAACTGGGTCGTTTTTTCTTCCTCTTTTAATTAAAATGAATTTTTTTAAAAGATACATATATATAAAACAATATTTAATCGATTTAGAATTTATTTTTCTATAATTTTTATCTCTTCCTTTAAAAAAGAAAAGAATCTTTTTCTTAACCATGTCAAAGTGAAATAAAGTTTTCAGACGTATTTTCCAGTTGAATGTTACGTTTTTCTTTTTTATCGAAGAAAAATTCAAAAGAGAAAACTGCCTGTCAATATAAAGGAGAAATCTGAATTCTTACAGATTTGAAGTTGTTGAAATAGCAGATTTTAATATTAGCCTTAAATGGGATTTATATTTGAAAATGTCATTTTTATAAACAGCCTCCTTTTTTTATTATTTTCGTTTATAAAACTTTCGTTGAAAGAAAATAAAAATTTTAGAGAAGGGAATATTTAATTTTATTATAATGAAAAAAAGTAAAATACACACAGATCTCTCTATTTCCGTGCGACTATCCCGAATAAATATCGAATACTTTCTGCACACCTGTGCGAAGATCGATTCACTAACAATAAGAAGATAAAGAGCATTAGTGCGATGGTGCAACTGAGAGGATAATCTCTTGAATCTATCTATAAATAATATTAATGGTAATAGGGTCGTAATAAATAATTTACATTTGCACCAAATATGTTTGGATTCTGCGCAATAGTTTTTTTTTTAATTTATATTTTTTATCTCATTGCGAAAATTATTTCCTTATAATAATTAATTTTAAAATCCTGTTTTAAAATCTATTAATACACATCTTCATTGCAAAGTTGTTTCTTATTATAAATATTCATTTAATTACAAGAAGAAAAAGAAGAAGAAGAAAAAAAATTCTTTTTTTGACAAATTACGTAAACGAGTTTCTCTGAAAGCAGTATTTCCCTCGAATTTATTTCAATTGATTTTTTAACAGCTTTTCTACTTCCTACGCAGATTCCTGCGAGTATAGGAGGAAATTATTATCGGCACCATTCTCAATGCCGCAGATTTAGCTATGTATGTAGAAGGCGCTATTAGCGCTTGAGCCAACTGGTTGATCCTGTAAGTTTCACATTTGTGGCTGAAAAGTTAAGCGGATTAGGGACTCGGAAAGGATTGCACTGTCGTTTATGTATGCTCAAATATATACATGTGTAAATCTACTTGAATATATTCTACATTCAAATATATATATAGGTGCGGTTTCTTTTCTATTTTTATTCTCAACTAAAATTTTATTCAAAATAATTTTTCGACAAGTATTTGGGTTACTTACCAACTATATTTTAAAAAGGATTACTTTTCTTATAATCTCAGAAAACATTAAAATTCGTTGCAGTTACTCGTTAAGTTTTTAGGTTATATGAGAATGTAAAATTTTTTTTTTTTTATGACTTTACGAGTCATGCAAGTCTGCAGTGATAAGTACATCTCTTTCATGTTCGCCCTGCAGCTTCTAAAAATGACCACTTCACCCAAGTTCTGACGTGCTTCATATCAAAAGCTAAAAAAAGCGACTGCTTTCAGAAAATCTACTTATTTGTCACGTATTATATCTTCTTTCCGTGTATACATTTAATACTTTCCACACATCTCTTTTTTTACGATTAAATTCAAATAAAGATAAAATATAATTTATATTTTCATCATAAAAGAGAAGCATATGCGGAGATAAAATATTACCCTCTTTTGATTTTAATATTTTTCACCAAATTTTATCTTTTAAATAACTATATTATCTTGCTGCATAAATTAAGTTTTCCTGAATAAAATCCAGTTTTTCTACTGTCAGGATATCTTCAGTTTCTAATCATCAATGATAAGAATAGATTATTTGTATACTTAAAAATTGTTTTTTAAGGAGCTTCTTGTAAAAATACTATCACAAAGTATTTTTATATAAAAATTTGGATACTTTTAGTATTATCAATTTAATACTTTCCAAGTATTTTTATTCCAAAAATAATAATCTACAAATTTCTCTTACATCTTCAATATAATGAATTTGTCAAGTAGGTAAAGAGTAGAGTGATAATAAGGTCCTTCGTTATGTCAAGTGAAATTTAATAAGACTTTGTTAGAAATTTTTAAGATCCTTTCTCGACTGAAATGAATAAAAAAAAAAAAGATTGTTAAATTTTTTCGATAATTTTCTTTTGGCGATAGAAGCTCTTTTGTATTTTAAATATAAAGATTAAAGCAACACATCTGTTACGAAAAACGTTTGTAGAAAAAAAAATGCATCTCTCTTTTTTGCATGAGGCTGTTTTAAAAAGTTTGATACTAAAAAGCGTTGTTGTCAACTAGGAAGGGAATTGCAACAGAGAGGGTTTCATTTAAGGCAAAGGGTGGCAAACGACCTGCAACTCGATGACGTTGGCAGACACATGTCGATAAGAGAGCAATCTAAAGCTCCATTCACAACGAACAAAAATCCCCCATCAATGGCATTTATTTACAGAAAAAAAAGTTAACAGATTTTTATTCACTAGAGTTTTTTTTGTTAGATTTGAAAAAACATATTGGCGACAATAAAATTAAAATAATATATATATAGGATGGTAAATCTAAGTTGCGATTAAAGCAGAGAGCTTAGAAACAAGTTTATATATAGAGTACAAGGATGATTCAACGTAAAACTTGGTAACAGGTGGAATAAGGGTTGTACCTCTCGACCAGAAAGCGGAAAATGCAAACTCTAGAATTGTTGTCATCTGGCATTGTTTCCACACAGGCATGCCAACTATATAGAAACCTCTCTCCCTTAGAACAAAGCGGTTTTCACAGATCTGCCAACAGCGAATGTACAATTATACATAGATATAGAGAATCTAAATTCTCCTCTAAGAAGCTTTAATTAACGAAGGAAATACCACCATTTGCATATATAATATATATATATATAGAAATCTAAATCTTTAAAGATAAGACTAATGCGACAATTTGGCATCGAATTTCTAGTTTGATCTTTCTTTGAACCTTTTTTTTTGGGGGGGGGGGAAAGTTTAAAGAATGTAGTAGGAAGTTTCATTTCGAAGAAAATTACGCGTTCAGAAAAGTTTTATAAAGGCGGGCAGGGCGACCGAATAAAGTGAAGGTAAATTCAAGAGGGTTTGGGAAAATCCTTGTATAACTTTAGAGGAATGACTCTTTCGAGGAAATTTGAGGAACATAGATTGTAAGAAAAGGATTCAAAAGCATGAACGCCTTTGTTCATGTCATTACATGAAATAATTATTAACATCACGGTTGACGGACATAAAGACAAGGAGCGTTCGTTTCAGTTCCGGTGATTGTTCTTTGGCTTATTAAACAAGAAGACGTCTATTAATGCTATTTAGGTTCAAAGTCAATGTTGAATTAAAAATATTATTTACTTTTCTACAATTTTTTTTTTTTTTTGATAAAAAAATAAAAGCCAATGGCTTTCTAGAATATTTATAATAATCTTATGAGGATAAAAAGTAATAGCTTATTGGCGCCTTTATTTTCCCATATATCTGGTTGTGATTGAACGGCAGGTCCATCTCGTGAATTTTGATAACCACATATACACACTAAAAAAAAAAAACGATTTTGCGTGAAACGTGGACAGAAACACTTCGCATTATGGAGATATTCTGAGAAGTGTGGTATTTCGTTGGAAATCGTCTTTGGGTAAAGCCTTGGGCTTCGAAAGGGTCGTTTCGAGACAATCTTTTTTTTTTATTACTTCTGAATTCAAAATGCAATATCAAGCTAATTTGCGTAATATAAGAAGCTTCTCCACCCACCCACACAATATTAAACGTCAACGAAAACTGGTCTCTTCTCGTGGTATATATCAATAATTCGATTTACGGTAATATTCCTTTCGCTATAGGGGGAAAGAGATACGTGCGGCTATCTCGATTTAATCTAATCTCTCTTGAAAACTCATATCCACTATACTCTAAAAGCTTGAAAATTTAACAACTCAATTTTAATACATATACAAGACAAAATTACCCCAGATAATTAAAAATTAACTCTTCTATTTTTGTAGACATAAAGTTTTTTTTATTTGATTCATCTATATGTTATATATGAATTCTCTCAAGAAATTTTGAAAGAGGAAAAGTAGTAAAACTTTTAGGAACTCTCTTTTTTTTTGAGAGAGAGAAAAGAAGAAAAAATAAGGTTCATATTGGTTTTTTCTCAAACACATACAGTCTGTTCATATGACAGAAGCGCACAGTTCCTCGGTGTAAAGTGGCGTGAAGGTTAAAGGTTCGTGCCATGAATTTTAGATGTTCATGTTCTTGGACCTCCATCTCCCCTTTTTCCGTTTTACTTCCACTCTGGTGTAAAGTAAAGATAAGTCACCAAGTTCAATTTGTTTAATTTGAATAATTTAGTTTTTTTTCCCTTCTGTGTTTTTTCATATATTTAACTTTTAATCTCAACGAAAATTTCTAATGCTAAATAAATGATGAGAAATGTATCATATCAATTTTCTCATATCTCGTACCGCAAAAAAAATTCTAAACCGATTTTTTCTGTCTAAAAAAGAAGGGGAATTTAGAAATTTTTTTTGATACATTTTGACGTATATTTCTGGTTCTGTATAGGTAATTGAAAAACATTTGTCAGGTGCTAATAACTCAGTAGACAACACTTACCAGTACAGAATAGTCGATCTAATTCCCATGTGTTTCTGAAAACAGAAAACAGACATTTTATTAGTTCATTTCTCATACTTTCGCAATGCTCGCTCGCACTCTTAGAAAGGGAAATTTTTTTTCAACAAATAGAATATAAAAATAGTTAATTCCAAATATTGAAAATAGATTCGAAAAAGGAAGAAAGAAATAAAAATTTATAAGGTAAATTAAATATAATTTTAAATACAAAGATTCTTTTTATGTAATATAAGTGAAATTTCACTTATTTAGATAGAGAGTATAATTATTTGAGTAAAAGTACAGAGAGGATTCTATGTTCCGTTATAGATATACTTTCTCGATAGAATCTCGAGTATTCTGATATTTCTGAATCGCAGCAGTCTTCCTATTCCGGAAATGAATCTCTGATTTTGTAGATCAAAGTTCGCAAACTCGATATTTCAGGTTCCAGTCATATGTATAAACTTGTTTAATCGTTTGAGGTGGAAAATTATTTATTCAAAACATATTTAAAAGATTAAAAACACCATGTATGTATCTTGTAATTGTAAATTTATATCTTTAAACTTTCTTATATTTAAATAATTTAATTCAAGAATTTATTAATTGAATTGTTTATTTATTTATTTCAATTTGTATAATTTAATTTTTAATGAAATTGAAAGTAAATAAATTAGTATATATACTTTTATGTATAACTGATTTAATGTAAGAGGATAGGGATTATATATATTATAACAAGAAATATATATCTTGGGATCAAAAGGTTTAGGGACGACATAAATATGGTGTCACTTCGTCATTATTATATTACATTGTGAAGTAAATTTCGTGAATCTGCAAAGTGGGGTTTTGAGAGCATAAATTTACCTTAACTCGCAGTTTAAACTTTACCCTCGCGTATACATATACTTAAAAAAATTTATTTAGTTTCAAATAAACATTATTAAATTTATTGAAACCAAAAAATTGTTATTTAAACCAAAAAATTGTTTTGAAATTTTTATTTTCGAAGCAAGTACAAGATTATTTTGAATGAAATAAATTTTTTTCATATATGCGAAACCATGGAATTCGTCAATGCCTATCCAACATGATAGGGCGCACCTCAGGCACTTTTCATGTTTCCTCACGAGCCAAATGACATGCATAAAAGCACCATTACAAAATGCTTTCACGTTCTTTTCGAATAGAGATCTTTAAAAGCATTCAACGATAAAATTATTTTTATATCGAATACCTCGAAGTAAAGTGTATTCGCAATTATTTCCCAAAACAAAAACCTCTACGTAAATTATTGAAATTTTAATCAAGACATTAATTTAGAAAGATATATTTTAATTTTTGACATTATTTCTGTGGTATAGTGAAATTAATGCTGGAAATTAAAAAAAAAAAAAAAAAAAAAAAAACGAAAGATGACACTAGACAGTTGTATGTGTAATATAAGAAGAGTAGAAAACTCGTTGACTCACTGAGAATCATGCGTCATTCAGCTTAACAAGATGAGTATTATTTCGCAGACATGAAATAATATCTTGCTAGATCGAGTTGCCGACGACGCTAATTGCATTCGTTTATTGTAGGTACGTTTTAAAAAAAAAGAGAAAAAAAAACCCCAGGGCCAATTATGAGTGTTGAATTCTGCCTCTTCCTCTCGTTTCATTCTTTCACGAATCGATAAGTTGAGAATCGATTAATTCGTAAAACGGCGAGCCTGCGACAGTGGCTCCAATATATATACATATGTAGAAACTATGGTGGTAATTAGACTGATTTATTATTTTAATTGCCTGCCTTAATTATCGTGTTAATCATTCATCGACACGGTCGCGCCTGTTTCAAATGGCTCAATGAGAAATAAAAGTAGAACTTATTAATAAATTTGAACTCAATTTATTATTCTCATATCTTGTGAGTATTTTTAAATTTTCCCCAACTTGGTATTTTCTTAAATAAATAATACAATTTTTGGTAATAGGGTGAAGACAAAAAGTTCGGTAATATTATTAATTTAAAATAGTTGGTGTAACCTTCGACCATTGGAAAAAAGATAAGTTTACTATTATATGTATATATATCAAGAGGGTTATTGCACCGGATGTCTCGAACTCTTGAATGTCGCAAATGTATGCAATATGTACAATGTGCGTGAATTACTTGCACACGCACATCCGATCATTAGACTTCGGGGTTTGTACGTCACATATGCGTGCAACATGTTTCCATGATGATGATGATTTTCCTAAAAGCGATACTTATGTCTTTGTCGCAAATATTTGTTATGTAATTGTTTTAAAAATTTTTCTAGAATAATTCTTAATATAAAAAAAATGAATAAATAGAACACTTGTGAGATTTAAGAATACGCGAAAGTCGTGAGTAGTTTGTCACAATATTATTTTTCAAACATAATTATGTTAATAGTCTCTTTATCTAGGAATACAATACTTGCGCGTGATAATTAACTCTTAACTATGAAAGCAGATATTATTTCATTGTTGGATATACAATTCTCCTGTTGTCTTTATATGAATCGCCATTGTTGAACAACACCAATTAAGAGATGATCTTATTTGAGAAAAATTTTTTAATTAGAAATATTATTATTTTTCTACTCATCAAATTTATTATTCTAAATTATTTTAAATTCTAAAAATTGTTACTCTAAAAAGGATTGATATTCCATAATTTTATATAGGAAAATTATATATCCTGGGAGATTGAATTCAAGGTTCAATATTGTTTATTAATAAACAGAAGGCGGGCGCCATAAAAAGGTGTTAAGGACAACGACATATGACAGTAGTTGAGAATTTCTTAATAATATATATATATGTATATATAAAATTGCAGTCATGACAGACGGGAAATGAGGAAATCTTATTTAAAATACCGTTTCCAGAATTAACCTTGACGCCTCTCAAATAAACCATACGTCATTATCCACACGCGTATAACGGGTGCGAAATAAGCGTGGGTCTGAGAATTCCAAAACTATAATCTTTTATCACTTTTTCTCTATTTTATTCCACCTTGTTTCGCTGTATATTTTATCGAGCAATGAAAAAAAAGAAATATAAGCAAAATGCGATTTATATATTAGAAATTATCACCAGATAAAAGTGAATAAAAAATTTAAGAAACGGAATTAAAAATATCGGAATATCTAAATAATTAACTATGCGAAGAAGGAAGATTTTAACTTAGAAGTACTAAAAAATTAAATATATATTTAGCTATCGAGGTAATTGTTCTCTTATCGATTATTCGATTTGATGTGAATGAATTTTTAATTATACGTTAAAAGTATATTTTAGTTGATGTAAAGTTTCGCGAAAACCGTGGAAAAAAGCGATGTTCCCAATAATTCACACAAGAGACGTCAAGAAGTTTTTCATTGATCCCCCTGTGGGCTAATAAAACTTGAAGCAAGAGCCTCAACATGCTGCTAAATATATATCAAGAACCCCTTAGAAAAGAGAGAACCTCTTTTAGTCTTCTAAATGAAACCCCATGTTTGTGAAACTCGACTGTATAATATTCACCACAGAGGTCTTTTCAATTTTCAAAAATATAAGGCATTAAATGCAAACATTTACTCACATTCGCCTGCGCGTGTGTTGCAAAATAAATGCGATCTTTTTTTTTCTCTCTACAAAACAAACGTTATATTTCATCAGGTGCACTTAATATTGGCTATAGCTGTAAATTCACGCACTGTCGAATTTAAATTCAATATATTATTTGTATTTTAAAACTCGCCATAGTGAAATATGCAAAATTATGAGTAAAAAAAAGAGAGAGAGTGAACTATTGACAAAAGCAATACTAAAAAAAGCTGCGTTAAATTGTGCAGTACATTTATTTTTATAATACCTATTGCAATGGAACATTGGCAATAAATCCTTTTATTGGCCACATATAACGATTGAAGATTAAAATGATCGTGAAATGTAACAAATTGACGTAAACAAGATTTGGGATTAAAGTATTTAGAGATTTAGTTGTACCGCATATTGAAATCCTCATGCGGAGAGATAAATTAAGCGCTGGGCAGGTTTTCAAATTCCAATTTTTGATGAGTGGAATTCTTGTTTGAAAAGTATCTATATACAAACGTTATAATCTGTATGAGAAAATACCAAAGTGACATATTAAGACCTTATATAAAGTGTTTTAGCAAATTCAGAGAATGAAGTCTAAAATCGCTGTATAGAGTAACCGGTGGCGCGCACGCGTCTGCATGTTTAATTCATGGCAGACATTACTCATTCATTCATTCATTCGGTCATGCAGAAGCACTTCCGAGAAGAATGCCGTAACAAGTTTCGAGAAACGAGTATTTTGCTCATCCGGGCGCAAGTTCCTAGGCAACCGATTTGGTACTGCACCATGAAAGATAAGGGGTAAGAGGATTCAATTTGGAGTAGGATCAAGAAACTCCAGATTAAAAGAATTCCTTCAGACTTAATGCACTCACACACTATTCCCAATATTGCTCAGGTCACAATTAATTCAGTGTTCTTTTGACTTTGGGTAATTAAATGTCATATAAGCTTTGAAATTTTTTTCCTAGTTACTTCCAAGTTATTTACTTGCTAAGAAATAGTTTTAATATTCCACATTGGTATACATTTTTTTTTTCCCATGTTATTATCGTGTCTCTCTATTTTTCTTGACTTAACTCCTACTGAGATAACTTGCTTCAAGCATCCATGCCGTTGTCACTTTTTTTATTTTCAACTTTTCAATGTTAGTCATAACATAAACCGTCAAGATAATTTTCTCTTCTTTTTCCCATGTTTATATTATGGAACTTGTCTTATTTTTATTTTTTTTATTCCACACCCACTTATTTTGATATAAAAAAAAAATTTATGAATCAAATAATCGGATACAATTTTTCTGTAGAGAAAAAATTGGTCGATTTTGGCTTATGTGCGAGTTAATTTTAAAATAATCCGACTGTGAAAAAGGATAGAATGAACACATGAGAGGAAAGAGTGCATCAACCTTTGCAAGAGAAACAAAATCATATTCTCGATAAAAAAAAAAAGTGTATAATATTTGAAAGACGTATGTGGCGAAGTCACTAAGAATAAAGCTCATCTACCGCCCCTTTAAGGTTATTTATAAACGTTTGACACTCCTATACTGAAAACGCAGTTCTCGTAGGAGGTGTCGTTGAGCTTTTATACTATAAACTCAAGTCTTAAAGAATCAAAGTGTTTGTACCTAGTTGAATAAACGAGTCAAGACCCACGTATATACATACTTAGTTATAAATTCGTCTGCACAAGTGATTGATGGTCACTTATCTTGACTGAAAAGGAAGCCAATGAGATGCGACTATATTTTCATTTAGGAAAAAAACTTTTATTTATATCCTCTATTGAATAAAAAAACTAGGATTTCTTCTAATTCATATTCATCTCTAGAGAAAAAATGAAACTGTAAATTTAAATCTTATGGAAACTTTATGCTGCACTTAATTTAAATTCATTTTATTTATCACAGCCCTTATTTTATGTCCAATCAATGTCGTATTTATCAAGTCTCATTTTTCGCGAAAACTATTTACGATGACGCTAAAAATTATTTATTTATTTTTTTTTTATAAATTTTAAAAGTATATAAATTTCGGTCTGGTATTTTGTGTAGGCGCGTCTGCACACTTGATTCGGTTTTAATGGAATTGGTTGACACGAATTCAAGCATAAAGGCCAAAGCGTGGGACGCTCAACAGTTTAAATCAAAGGAGTATAAGGTCAAAACTGTTATCGCGATTATTACAAAAATCAGATTACTATAGGGAAAATTCTTCTTTAAAAAAAAAAAGGCGAATAAGGGAGCTTTAAACTTTAATAGATGTTTCTCTTTAATTTTTTCTTTTAAAAAATAGAATAATTATTAATAACTGATGATAATTTTAAAAATTAATCATCTGTTTAAAAATGGAACATTCATTAAAGTGCTTCCACTTTATTAAGAAATACAAAGCCCCCTCTTTTGATTTTCTGATATAACTGTCATACTTAATTAATCAAACAATTAATTAAGTGGAGCCTGGTAAATTTTATTAAGTTTTTCACTCATCGAGTGTCCACTTCAGTTTGATGAAGTAAAACATTAGCATTTTTATTATCTTTTTAAAAAAATACGATAATTTCAGAATTTTATATTAATTGGTACACACACGCTTATAGGTTATGTGCACGTATATATAATTTAATAAATTTACCGATTATAACTTAGCAATTTCTCATATATGATTACCATAAACCGCTTTCACATTGCATTAATTCTTATCTCTAAATGAGAAAACGCCACATTTATATTAATAATAATAATTCAATTTTAATATGTTTGTCAATAAATAAGTTTTAAACATTTTTTAATCAATATAACTAAAATTGAATATTTTTTCTTCACAATTTTATTTTTCTGACATTTTCTATTACTTTTTTCATATAACTTATATAATATTATTATTTTATAATAAAAAATTAAGTTGTCAATCGCAGAATAGAACAGAAAATGAAAAATCATATATATACATTTCTCTCATCAAATGTTTGAACCATTTTCGTGTATATACGATCTGATTATGTATATATATGCCCTCCAGGTACATAGAAAAATATGATTGAAATGAAAAGAAAATTTTCCAAAGCAATTTATAACGAACAACCTTTCTAAATTAATTAAATATCAAATCAATTATACGATAACAATATTTCATTAAACTTGTTCATTAAATACAATTTTGCAGTTCTCAATAATACAATTCATATATGTGAGTTTCTCTTCATCATAATGAAGCACACACGAACTAAATTAATTTTACATTCTTCAAATAATTTAGTTTATAGTTTCAAAAAGGTCAGACATATAAAAAATAAAATTCTGAACAATTAAACAAGAAAATGTCAACATCCAATTGATCGAACTTTGAACTTATTAAAATAAATTTTAAAATGTTTGACATTTATATTATTATATGCTAGAATAATAGATTTATGAAATGTTATTTAAAGAAAAAAAAATGCTTTTTAATGAAGCATATTCATTATATGAGTTGGAAAAGAAAATTTTCTAAAGATTTGAAGTATTTTTTTTAAAACAATTTGTTCTTCTTGTCAATGTGTGCGAGCACGAAATGTATATTTACATATATACAGTTCGCTCATCCAGAGGCCTATGTACATACTTGTGCTCTTAATGCTCGGTGCATCCGTTCAGCGAAGACCTTCGCGGAAGTGGGACGTGGAAAACGGAAACGAAGTCAAGCCGCCAGGTCGGCTTCGAGCGATGGAAAGGTAGTTTAATTAGTTTGTTAGCCTTTTCATTTAACTTAGTTTTTCATCTACTAAAACCACCGGAAGTCATTCTCCACTCTACCTCTTCTGAATGGCTAACCATTTTGGGCCCACTGCCAGAATCTTTAGTTTCATTTAATGTACAAGACAAGTATAAAAAAAGTACAAATCTTTTAATTCCATTTTTGTAAAATGTAATATTTTTTATACCACGCGGAGAAAAGTAGAGGTTTCTATAGCGTAGAACAATTGCACGCGCTCTATAGTCAGCGTTTGGTACTACTAAACACTTTGCATGATTTTTTACTACTTTTTGGTAAGAAACCAATACTTCCTTGCGATTATATTCGTCACTTTTTTCTGATATGCGACTGAAAGGCGCCAAACTTTCATATAAAGAACTACATATAGGAAAGTGCATTTTTTTTTAATACAACGCATTGTGCATCGCTGACACATGCAGCCGCGAATTCAGAATTCTGGCAATGGCGAACTGAATAATAAGCAGTTTGCACCCCCCCCCCCTCCCCCTTCTTTACTCCTTCTCGACCCCTATCTATCCAACGATGTGGTGTGAATCGTGTCGATGAAACCATTCTCCCGGGACAGTATGGCTTATGGATAAAGAGTTTTCGGGGCAGGGGAATCAGAACTCTGGCGCCCCGAGTAAAAAATCAATATCATTCCACCCTTCTCAATAGGGACTTTGCTGTCTAATTTCACCAACTGGAAAATCAGTCATTGCTCTTTGTTGTGATGTTATATCTTCTTCAAATTCACCAACGAATTTTTTTTATTTATATTCAAATTAGTAAAAAGTAACATATAATAGCATAATGGAATTTACTAATCTTGAAGACTTTTTTTTCTAATTATTATTAACATAAAGGATTTGATCAGCGTGAAATGTTTTTCTTATAAAAAAAAGCATATTTCTTCACGGTGCTTAGGTCGATTAAATCAGATATAGAGAAGACGGATATGCGCGGTTCAACGTGCGAAGAATAAATTCTTCACGCTTAGAATCAACGATCAGGCGCGTTGGTTGTCACGCAAAAATCGTTGTGTCCAGCTACCGATATTACACACCTTCGTGTGTCGACGCAAATTACATGCAAGAATATATGTATATAATGTTGAGTGCAACAGCTTTCCATGTTGATCATAAATAAAATAATATTACGATCGACGGTAACCAGTATCGCTAAAGCTTTCACCAACATATATATGAATAGAGAATTTCAACTTATTTTACTATGACTCATGCACGAAATAAATTACAGATAAATAATCCTTATTTTTATGAATCAATTAACCATGACTATCCTCGGATTATCAAATTATGTGATAATAAGGATTATTTATACCATTTTTTTTATTGTAACATTATTCTGTATATTCCAACAGTCAGAGTTAATAAAGTATAGAGGATTTTTCTTTTAAAAAAAAAATAGAATATATTTCTACTATTAATGCAACATTGACATTGTAACTTATGGTAATAAGTTAAAAGGTATTGAATGATGGTATTTAAATGCGCAAGGTAGTTTAGTATCGATTAGTCATGTTGATGTAGAGAGGATCAACACACGGTAATAATCAAACACAGAGAGAGAGAGAGAGCTAAGATCAAACGAAAAGCCGGCGTTTTAGTTGAGGATAATCCCATCAGAAGGATCTGCAAATATTAAAGACTATTCCTAATTTCTGAAATTATCAAAATGGAAAATTTTCCTAAAAATTCGAATTTTATTTGTAGCTCAAAATTACTTTTTTTAAAAATTGATAGAACTTATCAAAATTATACGCAAGTTAACCCTTTAAGGACCAAATGTACAAAAATTTTGCCTAAAGTTTGGCAATTTTTTAAACCAACTAAACGCATTAAATTGATTTAGAACAAAATTGTGATTATTCTGTCTTTACGAAGAGAAATACTAATCATTTGGGTCTGTTTGTTTTCCAGGAAAGGCAACAAAACAATGGTCCAATGACTCTTCAGGACTTCTGTTTCCATGTCCATAGGCTTGCAAATCGTCCCGTTAACAAGAATATAAATCCTTGTCAAGAACAAATTAAAGTGGTGGAATGCTTTTACATATGTGCTTCGACTTATTCAATTTTTTTTGCGGATTTAACAAAAGTAAAACTGCAAACGATTTTGAGGGTATTTAAATATTATTTGTCCCTAATATTTATGACCTGAAAAATTTGTTATTTCGGGAGTGTTCGAATTTATCTTAAACCGCGATCGACTTATATTTCCCAAGTTTTTAAAGTTTATTAAAATTCATTTTATGATTCTAACGTGTAACGCAGTATTTAATCAGTGTGCTACGGGAGTGTTCGAAATTCTTAAAATCAAGTGTGAGTGTTTTTTTCTCAAAGTGAAATGTGCAACTCCAGGATAAAAATCAAGAAATTATATGCTGCCGTCGCTTTACGTCGAAGGAATCTGCGATCGGTGAGTCAATGTTCTTTTTTTTATATAAATAATATTAGAAAATTTATACTAGATTTTTTAATCGACCTCTATCTGCACATTTTACGCTCTCATTAGATTTTTCAAAGTGAAAAGATATAAGTCTATAGTAAAATAGATAAAAAAGCAAATGAACTCTAATGCGTCATGAACAGGTGTCTTATGATTTATACGAGTGACCCGCATTACCGCTGTGTGACCTAAGACCAATAGAGATGGGAAACTAACATCATTTTTCAAACTTTCTCCCACTTGACACTTTTCCCGATATTCCGAGGAATATTTAATTTTTATTGCCATCTCTATATAATTGTATATAATTTATACACTTTTGTAATTAATTACAGACATTAGTTTCTTAATATTTTTATTGATATTAAAAAAAATTATAAACACTTTTAATATAAATGGAAAATCAAACAAAAATTCTTATCGATTCTATATTGAAAGTTATTATTTTGAAACATATATTTCTCTTGAATCGTTTGTCGCAAAAATGTTCTTTCGACATTTTTCAATTGAGCCACGCAAACCCTTGAAAATTTTATTTATCGTTATATATATATATGGATACTTGTATATTATCTAGAGAATATATATTTTTGCCTTGGCGCAAAATAATATCGAAAGAAAAATAACACACATGGATGCTAGAATAATAAAAAAGCTGCACTTCCCTTCTCTAAAAGTTTACAGCTTTCGTCGCTAAAGTTTTCAGTGCTTTTTCCATGTCCCCCTTCCATCATCACATCGTATTCCGCACACCATTCTCAGATGTTTCATATAGACGTGTATAAAAAAAAAAAAAGAAAGCAAGTCCCTGTCGCGTCCTGGGATTTGACTTGGCTCTTTCGTAATGACAACCTTTTTAAATGCAAACATTATTTTTTGTAACCGTTAACTAATCTTTTCATTTATGAATATATGAAAAGGTAAATTTTCCATTGAAAACATAATTTATTTCGTTAGAATTTGTGACAATTTTGTTGAATTAAATTTTCTATACTATGACCTCTGAGTCAAATAATATCTCGCAGAAGTGAATTGTCATGGAAGTCTCTTACAATAACCCATCCTGACTAACATGTAAGGCATGTTGACGAGTGATTATCGTATCTTCTTCGCTTACATTTCCACAATATTAACACGTAGAGTGTATATACATATACACTATCGATATCGGTTTGTGCTACCGCTGGATGAGACTGAAAACTGTCAAGTGTTGAGTGCAAAATCACATTTCCTTTTTCTTCAAGGTATATATCTACATGATTCATGAATCTTGTATACTTGTATTGCATTTCAATTGACGATTCTTTAGTGCATTATCGCTAAAATCATCATTAAAATTATTATGACATCGTTTAACATTCCTTTATATCAAAATGATTATATAAAATATAAATTTAGGTTATAAAATTTTTAAACCTTAATTAATAGTATATGTAATTTTACATTACTAGTTTATGACTCATTTCGCAAACTCTCATGCATTTAATTGTGAGCCTCTTGAATTTGCCCTGGAATAGGAAATTATTCCAATTTCAACAACATTGATTATTAATCGGATTCAAATTTCCGTTTTAAATTCAACTCGTTTCAATTTCATAATATCGAATAGACTGAGGGACTTATTTATGAATATTATAATTGAAAGGGCGAGGACTTATATACATTAAAACCTATAGGGATACCGAAAGGGTTATTAACTTTTTTAAATTAGTACTATAAAAATAGGTTAACAGTTGAAATTGTTCAATGTCGAATTTTTGCACAGAATTCTGTAAATCAACTAGAATCGCTAATTGGAACCACAGAAAATTAAAAGGCATTAAAATAAGCTGCAACGCTTATTATTTTAATCCAATTTTGCTTATTTTAATCCATTTTGGTATTAAAATAAACAAAATTGGATTAAAATAAGAAGCGTTGCAGCTTATTTTAATGCCTTTTAATTTTCTGTGACCTGATAAATCGAGTTTTTTCTTTTTTGATCTGACTCTCATTCTAGAATTACAATAGCAAATCAGTTCTGATTAGCGAATGGAAAAAAAATTCTTATTCTAGAAACGCCCTATCTCTTACAATTACATAAATTACAAAGTATATCTAATATTTTAATTTTCGAAAGTAAATAAATGTTTTTTCTACGTAAAATTTGAATGTAATATTTTTATTTAAATTCTATTTAATGAAAGCTAAATTTTTTTTATATAGAATTTGCACAATCTTATGTCATAATGCGCACACATGTTTAATTTTGAATCTCAAATGTTTTGTGTGATACAAAAAGACTAACGCAAGCACTATTTATAAGCAACTAGCGTGGGAGACTTGTCTTCAAATGGCAAGTAAAAAAAAGATTAGAATATTACCTTATTTTTTACTGAAACGTTTTCTCTAAAATCAAAATTTCTTTTTAATGATGAAAAATATTTATTTCTCTAGAATAAAATTACATCAATTATGTATGTTATAATAATAATGTTAAATTCCTGTAAAAAGAAAACATTTTTTCTGAATTTTAAATACAATTCATTAGATAGAAATAGCAAAATATGACAAAAAGAAAGCAAAGCAAAAGGAAACAAAGTTTGATAAAGTTAATAATTCAGTATGTGCGAGTTGTATTCAACTATATAGAGAATTTATTCAGATGAAAGTTAAGAAATAAGTAATAACTATTGAATGGTCATGTGATTCACTCCAAAAGACCGCAGAGTCTTGAATAAAATAAAATAAAACTGAAGACTGAAGCCAAAGTAACTATTATATAGAATCAATATCCGTCGATATACCTTCATGCAAGTTGAATACTGTTTCGACTCAATTGGCATGGGGTCTATTTCATTGTTTCTTTTCATGTACAAGCAGTACTCGTTTCTAAAAAGCCTTGTGTATATATTCCTAGAAATCTCCATTACACGCAAACGTTTACACATATATAAAATTCAAAAAAGAAAATCCCAATTTTTGAATAATACAAAATAGTATTGCTAAAATTTTAATGGAAGTAGTATATTTTATTGAAGCCACTCGTATCATTGATAGATAATGATTAATCTGTTAAATTTTAGGTTCTCCTACATTGACATATTTAATTATTATATCAAATAATCGAAATTTCAATAAATATCCCATTATTTAACATTGACATATATTGGTTTTTGGTGATGTAACGGATAATAAAGAAAAAAAAAAAACATTTCACGCATGCCAACTCGTAGAATTTATGCTGCGCCACACAAATACAGGGAAAACGACCATCAATACGTTCGTCGAACTATCAACGCATTTCCAATCGATCGTTTTAGACGAATTGTAGAGGTTAATACATGAATGGTCGATAACCCCCTTTCTCTCGCTACTGTCAGTCTACTTGCATGCCATTTCACATTTGAGAATAATTTTGTACGAATAAACTTTGTCTACATACGTTTTGCGAATAGAGGGCGATAAAATTAAAGCCAGTGCGGTGCCGACCATAATTCGATGGCCGGAAGCACGCTACAAGGAAGAAAGGTACGTGCGCGCGGAGATTTCACACTATCTTCCGCAAGAAACATTCTCCCTTGAAATGGATACCATGCAGAAAGACTAGACATAAAATTTACATAAATTTGCTTTTACATGTCTACTAAATATTCCTAAGGAAATAAATTTTTTCTGATACAGTTAGAGACAATTGTTAATATAAAAAAAAAAAAAAACAAAAGAATTATTTCTTTCATTGTTTTGTCGTACACTTTTACTTCTCGAAATAACGTTTCCGGTACCGGACACCATTAATTAAAGTTATCTAAAATGAATAAAAACTTATATTTATATTTTTCATGTTGAGATAACCAAATATTTATTTCACTCTCCAGCGGTATTTATTAAGCTCGCGAATAGATTCAGCCATATAGCCGGAATGATGACATAATAATTTACAATTCTCGGAAACGGCTGCTGCCTCTGCAACCTTGCCTCTCGTTTAAAATTCTTCAGCACGAAAAATAGATCATAAAACCTCGCTCAAATATATAAACGGATATTTGTAAATATAAAATTCAAAATGATATTTAGTTTTTTCTATACATTCTCATCGTAAAATTAAACTCGAAACAATTTTTTTTTGTAATAGCAAAACAACTCAATTGTATTGACAAGTACAGGAGATTGGAATTTAGAAATTGCATTATATTCCAAAGATTGTGCCTGTTAGGAATTCGCTTCTATAATAATTTATAACTGGGCGGGCAATGTCTGTTGGAAAAAGGGGAGTAATTTGCGAAATGAGAATTCGTGGCTAGATAAAAACTTCTGAAAGCTCATTCTTCTCTTCTAAGTCCATTTGGTTTTCTCTTTCTCTCTATATAGTCAGCATGCGGAAACCAGAGGCAAAAGTAAAACAAATCTTTCCGCGTGTTCGTTCAACTGGAACGATATCGCTAATTTCAAAACTGAATGAGTCAGAAATTTATATTTATAGTTTTCTATCTTCTGGCTTGTGTCATTTCCAAAATAGTCCTTGTTAAATAATGGGATACTATCATCCACTGTTGGATGAATTAAACAGGTATTATTGAAAAAAGAATTTTCAAAACGCTTTATTGGTATTTATTTTCCTATTGCGTCAACAAAATTGGTTTCAAGAATTCATTTTTCCTAATTTTAGTTGTGTCAACCAATCAAAATTTTGCAAAAAAAAAAAAAATGTTGGTTTAAATACGATTTTGTTACCATACGAAATTTTGAAAAGTGAAATGAGTCAATGGAACACCTTTTTGATATAAATTCACGAAAGGAGAATGAATACATCTTGATATGGACTTTTTCTTTCCTCGGTTGTCTCTCTCTCCCTCCCTCTCCCCCCCGCGTTCTCTCATTTTCCATCACACAAAACCGTTCCAGCGTTTGCCCCCGAGGATCTAGAATATGTATCCCTAGCGTGCTCATATTAAATTCGAGCAGTCACTCAGACCCATCCAGTAGTATTCGAGGAGCATACCCATACATGGCAGAGACATTCGTCAGTGCAACATGGCGATTCTCCCGAGACTGCTTGCTCTTTGAACTCCAGAGCGATCTATATCAAGAAGAAGCTGGAGAGAGAACAGAGCTGACGAGACACGCACTTAGTCAACCTTTTCAAGCAATATTCTTAATTACCAACTTATAGTCATTTGTTAATATAATATTATAACGTTTGCTTGAAAACATATATATAGGAAAAACATTGTTTTTACACTTTGATATTGAAAAAAAAAAATGAAAATCCTTAACAAAAGGATATCCAATTTCGATGTATATAAAATTTTTGATCATCATATTTATAAATTTTTCACTAGTCATTCTGCGGTGTACAGTGTCGAACAAGTTGCCGCATTCTATTCGCTTGATAAACGATGTCGCAATGTCAAAGGGGGTGAAAAATTGGACTGATAAATTGCTCGCACAATTTTTAACATCCATCATAACATCTATATCATAATCGAATCAAAAATTTTCCTCCCACTGGTATATACATGGTATAATCAACTTGTTTATTCGTTGTGTTATTTTTCCAATCTGTCAGATTTTGTTGCACTGCAAAATATATATGATTTATTTTTTTAAAAGTTTTCGTGTAGAAATCGCCCTATCAGAATTCTAGTACATTGTAAAAATTTTAGGTAGTTAACAGCACTAGGAGTTGGGAGTTCGATTTTTCGAGTTAAAAATCAACTCGAAAAAGGAATTAACGAATAGTGGAAGGGAGTTCAGTATCAACTCCCTTATGAGTTATTTTATAATGTAGAATCATATTCTTCAACTCGTGTAAGGAGTTAAAGTTGAACTCCCTTTGCTTTAACTCCCCAATGGGTGAGACTTTTATAGCATCCCCTGGAGAGTTGAAATTAAACTTCTTTTTTTGCAGTGTATAGAAACGCAACGCCTGATTAGGGCAATCAGAAAATATGGATTTCCTAATCAGGACGCGGCGTTTCATTCCTTAATAGGGCAGCCCGATCTGAGCCATGGTAACATTTCTGCATTGATGTCTTTTTTTTAGACACAATATGAAGAAAAAAAAAAGTAAAGAGTTTACTAATCCTCCTTCGAAAAGGACACGTGTACGTCCTTAAAAATCGTGACAAAAAAAAAAGAGAAAAACGATGATGCAGTTTGACGCCCTGAAGTAATCCGACCTCTAGGAGGTACTCACGTCCAAGTGATTTTTGCTTGAGGGGTCCATACACCATCGTGACGACTTTGCCCCACACACAAACACTATGAACCCATAAAATGTGTCTTAGTATAGGTGCATATAGAGAAAACGGAAAAGACGGACAAAAGAGAAGCAGCTGGGGTGATGACGTCACTACCTGTCTTACCGCCCTGGTAACACCCGGGGGTATGGGTCAGTCAATATACACAAAGCATGTTCCTTCTTTTTCTTTTCCATATGAAATGTATATAAGGTGCATGCATTTTATGGTCACAAATACACGAAACGTTTATATGTGTATAATAAATATATATCTATATATATATATATACACACTTGTCATCGAACCTGAGTTTCCTTTCGATGGAATTTATTCTTTTCGCTTCCAAGAAAAATTCAAAGTGCAATTTCAGCGCGGGAGTGTGTGACGCATTTTTTTCTTTCGATAAAAAAAAAAAAGTTAGTAGGATGGAAAAATGATCTAGGGCATTTTAAATTGTGTTAGGAATTTTAAAAAGCTATGTTAGTTAATATTTGTTAGCTAATTAAAAATTATAGCTAATATCAAATTCATTTTTCTCTGTTTTCCAAAGTTTCGCTAACCAGAGCTATGTAATAAGTTCGATGTTATTTAATCTGAGAGATTCGATCGATAAGACAAATGAGCTATAAAAAACATAATGTGAAGAGCTCTCTTGCCAAACCGCAAGATAACGAGTTAAAAACTTCTTATTGCCTGAGTACTTCAAAATAGAGAAATGCAATAATTTTTTATATTTTCTTTTAAAAAATTCTTTTAAATTTCGATTCCATTTGTTACAATTTATTATATATTACCATACTTACCTGCGTCTAAATAGAAGTGGTTAATTCCTCTAAAAGTTGATTTTCAAAAAATTCTCGTCTTGTAAAAGTAGGTTTTAGATATTTATAATAGATTATTCACAAATTAGTCAAGTACTTTAATTTTGCAATCTAGTCACTTGAAACTCAAGGGCCTTGATAAATTGAACGAGAAAATTGTATTTCTATTTTCTCGATTACTTCAAAATCCCATACCATATAGAAATTCTCAATATAATGATTATTCTAGATGACATTAGTTTGCGCAGAGAAGTCGTTGGAAAGCAATAAATTTTATAGGGAATATTTTATTTGCCCGAGAGACTGATTTCAAGTCAATGAGATACTCAAGTTGTAAATTGTCAATGTTATAGCCACAGGTAAAAGAAATTATGGATTTAATCTTACAGAATTTTCAACAACAATATTCAATACATTATAGAGTGGTGGCTTTTATCTTTGTAAAACTACTTAACAATATACTTCACGCAAAAAAAGGTCTATGAATAAGTTGACAGGAATGTTAAATATAAAGAGTAATTCTAAAAAAAAAAATTTTTTAGCATTTTACTCCGAAAATTTCATCACAATAACGGAATATAAATATCCCTTTCAAATTCGTCAAAAATAAATTCTATATAGCTCCGAAAAAGGCAAAAATACTCCTCTTATATTGAATTGATCCGCCTGTTCTCAAATTGTTTACAGTTGAGTCATCTCATTTAATCTCTTGTGAATAATAAGATTATATATATATAAAATGAACATCTTAAAGATGATTTAGATGTTTTTTTCCAATTAATATTACTGGAATTAATTAGAAAAATATAATAAAAATGTTGCGATAAATGATTTCTAATAAAAATATTTGTTTCTTTATTTCAGGTGAGTACCAAATTTTTGCATTCGTTAAAGGTCCAGGAAAATGCACGTGAGTGTAATATATTTAATATAATTATTATAACTAATATCTATACTGTGTCATTGAATGCAGGCTTCAAATAAAATTAGATTTAAAAAAAACAACTTAAAGAAATAAATGATAAATCAGATTCACCGCGTAACAAAAACAGAATGTAAGACAAATATAACCTCAAAATTTACTTGAAACCAGATTTATTTTTGGTTACGATCCGTCTTTATCAACTATACATACTCTATCTTCATCAATCAGTAAATCAAAACATTAGTCATTCCTTCTAAATATTCAAATTATATTAATAATAATTTATTAAAAAGAAACTCACCACTAAATTGAAATTCCCAATTTTTTTGTCTTGTTTACATCGCGTCTTTTCCCTGCCAATAATATTGGCTACAATAAAAAAATCACTTTAACACTTGAACTTAAACACAAAACAAAACTGTACATCCTAAAAGGGCACAAAAAAAAGAAAACGTATCACTCCCCCCTTTTCTCCCCTTCCTGGAATCGTTCTCGTCGTTTTAGTTAGGGTCTCGAAAATCGCACAGATTCACCATGGGATTTAAAAAAAAAAAATTATATACTTTGATAATTTCACAAAGGAAAATTATAAAAATAATAATAATAATTTCAGTTTTCTCTAAACTGTGATGGTAAAAAGTACTTTTTTTAAGTTATTTAAAGAATTAAATTGTAATTTTCAAGATATTTTGTTTCATTTATGTGAAAAAAATAGACGCAATATATTCCTCTGTAGAACGCGTTTGTGAGCAGACTGACTCTACTTGGGTCTCTGAGTTCTTGTGAAGAGGCGCCGTTGTGTTTACTCCCCCCACCCGCAGATCGCGCTCGTTGCTGGTTTTCCCTTTCCCCCCCCCTAACTCTTCTTTGCCCATATAGTTGCCCGGTCCGCACCCCCCCGCACCTTCCTGTGCCCGGGGCTCAGCTGTCCAACAGTGGTTCTCTTAGAAATGTCAATTATTTAAAAAATTTATTACAAAAAAAAAAAAATCATGATTCGTATATGCTGTAATTTTTGCTATTTTTCTTTATAATATTACTTGAATTATTGTGTGAAACATAAATTGTATTTCACGAGTCATTTTCTTCAATTTTTTTTTTTGAATTTGTATAATCAACTCTCGTGCAGTAGATGACCTACTAAAGGTCTATGACCTACTTTGCCCTCGTCCGCTCCTTCTGGACCGAATTATTGTTGATTAGTCATTATCTTTCGTTTATCTACAACTTTTACCCCCTTTAAGGGGTAAAATTGGTTAACTTATTCGTTTCTAAATTTCTTTGATTCAAATAGATTATATAAATATTTATTTGTATTAAATAATTTAATTATTTGAGCCAATTAAATGGTATTTGTTTCAAATAAATAATATAGAATTTGTTATGATATATAAATTTATAAAAAATTCATTATAAATTTTCCGCATTTATTCAAATGATAATTGAATATAATTTCTTCTGTGAATCATTTTCAACTCATCAAAATATCATTCATCTTTATAGAATGTGTATATAAGCACATTTATATGCAGCACATATATATTAAATAAATCTTGAATAATAGTTAATAAATTGCTTATAACCAAATGATTTGCTTCACTGAGTAAGGAATATATATTAATATTTAAAGTTAGGACATTTTTTTTTTTTTGTATGAAAACTTGAATAATGATAATAATGAAACGTGAATTTTAAACAAGTTTGAACAGTTTTTCTTATATGCATTTTAAGCACCTTAACACATATTTGGTTAAAAGACCTTGCTGATGATGTTACTATGTCGACAAGGACTCTCACTTGCGATATATGAGTCATTTTTGCCATTTCAATCGCTTGATTTTTCAAAGCTAATTATATTCTTTTTTTTCCGCATAACGATACTAATTTTCATTCAATGAATAATCACTTAAATACATTTCAAGTTACACTTTTTTTTCACTTTGTAAAATGACGTGACTTTAGCCATTTGTCCATTTTCACGCCGTAAACGGACATGACTTTAGCCGATTGTCTATTTTGACGCCGTGAACGGAAGTGCCTTTAACAGATTGTCTATTTTCACGCCGTCAAAAGACGTGGCGTTAGCCATTTGTCTATTTTCACGCCGTCAAAAGACGTGACTTTAGCCATTTCTCTATTTTCACGTAGTTAAAAGACGTGGCGTTAGCCGATTGTCTATTTTCACGCAGTAAAAAGACGTAACTTTAGCCCATTGTCTATTTTGACGTCGTGGACGGACGTGACTTTAGCCGATTGTCAAAAGACGTGACTTTAGCCGATTGTCTATTTTTACTCCGTAAACGGACGCGACTTTAGCCGATTGTCTATTTTGACGCCGTGAACGGACGTGACTTTAGCCGATTGTCTATTTTCACGCGGTCAAAAGACGTGACTCTAGTCGATTTTTGATTTTCACGCCGTTAAATTTCGTGAAATTAGTCAAATTTTTATAAGAAAAATTTAAACAAGAATTTCGTGAAATTATTTTCAAATAGAATTTAATAGTGAGATTTTCTTAAGTTTTTGAAAATTTAATGAAAATTTAAAATTCGCTAAGTTTTCAAACTTAAAACAAGTTTACATAACTCAAGTACATATATAAATGTATTGAAGAGATTGAGGTCTATATAAGATTCAGACAACTTCCAAATTGAAGTTCAGATTATTTATATAATCATTCGACTGTAAAATAGACACACTGCTCTTTATATTTTATGTATATAATTTCATGTCGAGACATTTTCTTTCATTTTATTTTTAATATAAAAATATTTGTGCAAAATTTCCAAACACAAAAAATTAGTTTTAACTATATATTAATCGGATGCACCTAAGTCATTGATAATTAATTAAAATTGTTAATAAAAAAAAAAATTGGTTCAAATAAATTTTTTCTCAGTGTATACAGCTAATGGAATTATTAGAAAAGATTACATAATCTTCGGTATTAAGGGTAATAGAATTAAATATATATTAAAGTTTTCAAGAAATAAATCTTCATTAAGATGAATCGATGTTACAATTTCCGGAAAGAGATTGATTGATTAGAGTTTAGTTTAATCTTAGTTCCTGTGGAGAGGGGGAATCTTGAGAGAATGTCCCAAAGTTGTGTACCTATATATATACACAAGTTTCTTTAGACATAAGGGAAACTGATGAGAATTCTAGAATCCTGTATATTCCATTCAATGAATTCTTTTACAAGTCTTTCTAAATTATCCTTTATTTTCTGATTAAAAAAAAGAAAAAGATGTAAATCTTGATATATCGAACATATAAAAATAATTTCTTTGAAAATGAATTAAAATTTTTTTTTATTAAAAAATATATATATTTGTGTATATAACAAATTGTATGATTCATTGCGAGTAATTTTGAACCTCTGTCGTGAAAGAATAATGTTTTTATTGGTTTAACGAGAAAAAATAAGGATTTATATTCCAACGAATTGTAATGTTGTTTGTTTTGTGGTCTTTCCTTTACTTCAAATATAACCAGGAGTCACAAATTACCTCGGTGTCGTGGTAATGAGACTCTTTGGATTCTGCTCACCTCCAAGCAACCCTCGACCACTATAATGTAGCTATATATATATAGGTACACACCAGAGTTTGGTATACAATGTTGTATAGGTATAGGAAAATTTATCATACTAAAAGAAAAATACTTTATGGTTATATAGATTCTTTGTTTTAAAGTGCAGACTTGACGCCAAATAATATTAGTTATAAAATTTTTTTAATTTAAATAGATTTAAATTTTATTTTAAAATTTCCACGAGAACAATTGAATTTTCGTTCGTGCATCACGATGACAAAAACAGTTGTATCTTTTTTCAATTTTTTTTTATAAAAACAATAAATCTTTCTACTTTTTCTTATGGGGAATAAATTTTCATTTTATAATTATTTAAAAAAAAAGTTACAGACATTGAATTTATTTTTGCTATTGCAATCTTAAAAAAAATATTACAACTTAAAAATAATTCCTTCCAAGTAGAATAGGATAGTTTTAGTTAGCCAGAAACAGTATTAAAATTTGAAATAAAAACTGTAGGATATTTGCTTAAAAAAAAAAGGTTCATATTCTAAATATAATAATATTAATTAATTAATTAATTAATTAATAATAATAATTCTTATTCTTATACTAAAACTCGAGACATAATTAAACGCTTTATGACTTTCAATGCCAAAGAAGTGAAACTCGAGTGATGTTTTATGCAAAAATTGAAAAGAATGACACATAGAATGCGTATATAAACTGAATAACTTGTTCGCGTTAAAAACCTCATATAAGAATTTTTTTTCTCTTTAAGAAAAATATGAAATATTTTATTAAGTTTTAATTGAATATAAAATTTTTTTGTTCTAGAAATAAAAAATTTTTTTTAAATTAAATATTTTTTCTCTTTTATAAGGAAAAATAAAGATTTTTTTTTTAAGTGCAGAAAGAAGAGTAGTATAACTTTTAGGTAGAAAATAATCTACCATTAAAAAAAAAATAGTGAAACAAAAAGAGATTAAGGGAAGGAGGCGAAACCAAACTTGCAATTGGAAAATTAATGGAAGCTCGTAGTAAATCTGTAAGGTAGAAGTTTACTAAAGCTTCTGTTGCGCCAATAAATAACACTACTTCCTTCTTTGCGGGATTCGTGACTTTTTGAAGAATAGTGAGATACTTAAATCTTTCATGTTTGCGCGATAAACAAATAGACGAAAAAATATAATATTATATTGTTATCAGAAAAATGAAATTGAGAAATTGTTTTCGATTCTTTTGAAAAATTTTCTATTTTAGACAATCGATCTTTAAAAAAAAAAATTAGCAAATAATTTGAACCATAAAAGCGGAATTTTTTTCTTCCTTTCTTTTTTTTTTTGAAAGAAAAAAAAACCGACAACTGGGCGCCGTTTGATTGGGAGTATCATAATGATAACGGTTACCGTTTATGGCAACGAAGTGTTTCAGGTCGTTATTGCACCTTCAGGAATTTTACTCGTGTTATACGATTCTTCCTCTTCCGTATAGTATCGTTTCAAAACCTTAAACCTTTTTCACCATTTCCTTTTAAGGTTATATACAATTCGAATTTTCAAATCGCATCAATTTATCTCGCAAGAATCCTTTTGCGCTTTTCTTCTAGAAATGATTTTGAGTCGCTATACTGATTTTAATTTTAAGTTCCAGGAAGTAGTTTTTTTTATTTGCAAAAAAAAAATTTTTTTTTTAATTTGCAAATATTTCTTTTTTTTATCAAATAGATCTCACCCTTATAATATTTGGAATTTATATTTAGGAAAATTGAAGGGTAAAATCGAAATATTTCCTGGGAACAATTTTGTACTCTTGGCACTAATCCAAAGCGTGTTTCGCTGCTGTCGACAGTTAACTCTCAATTCTATACATGTACGAATTTAGGACTTTCATACATATACTGCTTGCAAATTGCAGAAAATTGTTCATAAAATTAAATACTATTTTTATTTAAATTAGACAAGTTTTTACGTTTTCCGCGTATAAATAATGAATTTTTTTTAAAAGTATTTTTCGAAGAATATGTATTTCTCGAGTATTTCTATGTTTGATTAAATCAACTAATTTGATTATTTCAATTAAATATTTTTTTATATTATACGTTCAATAATTTTTGTTATCGAAATTTAAATTGAAAGCATTTTTTCTTTATGAAAAAAAATTATTTGATTCAAATAATTACTTGACTACTATCAAATAAATATTTATTTGAACCAAATAATTTTTAGTTGAGTCAATTAAATTTTATTTGTTCAAATATAGAAATTATTGATTTAAATATAGTATATTTAATTAAAATAAAAATTATTTGTTGTAAATAAATATTTATTTGATGTAAATAAATATTTATTTGTTGTAAATAAATATTTATTTGATGTAAATAAATATTTATTTGTTGTAAATAAATATTTATTAAAAATAAATTTTTTTTGCACAGTCAAGCAATCGATTATTTGAATAAAAAAAATTTTTTCACTGTATTTAATAAAATAAAAAAAAAATATAGTTGCAATAAAATAAATTGGGACTAAGAATATGTTCTTGCGTGCAGCAAAAAAAGAAAAAAAAACCTGGCAAATATTTTCATAAAACGGGCTTTTAAATGAGTGCAGAGTTGTAAAATGGTGAATCTAGAGATAGGACACGTTACCACTTCGTGGTCAACGGATTAACTTTATTCTGCCTTTACCAAGAAAATTGTATGTTTTATGGTGGCTTAGCAGAAATTGCATTTCTACGGTGCTTCACTGGGCACATACCACCTCATCAAACTTCGCTTGTATAGTTGAAAAAAATAAAAAAAATAAAAAAAAAAAAACATTTACCACATCGTGTTGGTGGAAATTTAAAATTCAAACCCGTAAATTTTATATTTAATTTTATTTTACATTGATATTTAATAAATACAAAAACAAATAATTTTCTTCAAATTTTATTTTGTTTAAGAAAAAATTTTCTTCGATTCTACAATTGAAGTTTTTTTTTTCAAATAATAATAAACATTTTATGTCGATATTATTGTACTTTCCGTGTTATTTAATAGTTTAAATTGAATTTTTATTGCGCAAAAAAAAAATATATAAACGAAAAGTATATATCCGTTTAGACATAAAGTTCTCTAAAAGTTTTTTTTTTTATGTCGCTTAATCTGCGCAACATTCCTGAGGGAATTGTTTTTTCATCGATGCGTCTTCTCGCTAGATTTCAGAATGAACGCTCACACATAAAGCTGAGAAATTCCAAATATTTATCAAAATTTGTCTTAATTTTCAAAAATTCGTAAAAATATATATTTTTTTTTTAAATCTCTTTTTTTAATATCTATTGTATCTATAATACAAAGTCTTTTCAAAAGAAAACGCATTAAAAAGTGCGTTCACAAAATTATATATATAGCATATATATGCTCCAGAGAATTTCACTGAAATTAAAAATCGATCCTTTCCAATCCAATGATGAAACAATTTTTTTTTGTCTGAGGATTATTTTTTTAAAAATCAAATATCTTTCATTTTTTTTTTTCATTCGTGTAAATAAATTGAAACCAAATATTTAAAAAAAAAAATTCATACACTTTATGGATTAAAAATACACACATTTATAGATTTTACATCTGTGTGTATATATCTCAAATAATACAATATTTTACATAGAAGAATATTTTCAAAATTTATTTTAGACTTTTCGATTGCTTTTTGTTTATTGTTTTTTTTCCTCAACTTTAAAAAAATTATTGTCGATTCAATGAGCTTCTGTATAATAATAATAATAATAATAATAATAAATGCACAACGCACACGCTAGCGAAATTAGAGCAAATTCATTGAAAGAATGTTAATTGAATATATGATAGAATGCAGCTCTATTGGCGTTTGGAACGAACCAGAAAGTTTTAATAGAAAAAAATTTCCTACCACTAAAGACAAAATTCTCTCTCTCTCTCTCTCTCTCTTTCTCTTCTGAATAATCAATTTGGAATTCGTGTATGCGGAATATTGAAAATCAATGTAAATATTATTTGAAAATTAAACAAGCAATTTATATAATATAATTGAAAATTTGCCAATATTATCAATTTTTTACATAAAATTTAATTCTCGCATTAAAAATTAATTTACAAATGATAAATTAATTTAATTTTCAAAAATTAAATTTACATAATAATTATTATATATCATGGAAAAAAAGTTTTAATTAAATACAACGAATATTTTTTTGATTTTGAGTAAATATCAGATTATAGTGTATATATAAAAAAAAGAATAAAATAATGAACATGAATTTTAATTGGTTATTTTGTCAGGACAATTTATTAATTAAATTCTAATTAGAAAAATGATCAATTATTTATCTCTCGAAAAAAGGGGAACAACATTCATTATATTGAAATGATTTAAAAAGATGATTAAAAAAAAAATACACACAAGTGGTAATTAGCAATTAAAAGTTACTGTCCAGGGCCTCTAGTATATATCAGGGAGAGGGTCGAAAGGATTTCCGGTGGTTGAAAAGCAGGACAGTTTTACTGTGTGAAGGGTTGGTACTCTGATAGCCCCAATAAGTCGTTATAGCGCTACTATCCGACATAGGACAGAAACTCCTCCTCCTCAGACTAATTGGAAATGAAACTCTAGAGTTGCAGATTTAATGAATGAAATATTGACGTTTCTCTAAAAAAAAAAATTTTTTTCATGATTCTCTCATTGTGATTATTTCATCTTTCTATTTAATTTTTCTTTTAGCTCCAAATTTTGAGAGCTAATCTTTTGGCTTTCAGTTACGTAAATATTTGTCGCATTTCTTCTTGTCTCGGAAAAATTGTCATTTTAAAAATTGAAGCAAAAATATAATTGGTTCATATATAAAGATAACGTTTCATTTTTTTTTTTGGGAGAAAAAAAATAATTTTTTTTATACTTTGTGTGCAGGCTACTTGAAAACAATAAGCTTGATGCTGCATTGTCGTTCTGTTTCAATTGTGACATTCCTTTCAACTGCAGAAGTTTAGGATAAATGGTCTTGTTCCACTTGAGCTCTTGGACCACATATGTAGTGTATATAGGTTCGAAATATTTCGGAATAGACAGTGTGTGCCTTTACATATTCATATGGGAGATGCTTTGTATGAGATTAACCACCCCCGATTCTTCTTTTTTTTTTTATTTTGCAGATACAATCCCCTTCTTCATGTACTTCAGTTTTTTTTTCAAATTACTTCTTCTTTCGTCTCGAGGATTTTTTTAAAATCATTATTGGGAATTTTAGTATTCGCAAAGAATCCATAAATCATTAATTTTGCTGTTTATATAGCTGAAATTAACAAATGTTAATTTAATTGAATTAGAAAGTTTAATATTCAATAATTTTTTTTACTCCAACTGTGATGATTCTGAAAATAAAAAAAATTGTTCATTAGTTATAAACAACAAAAAAAAATTTAATATTTTAAATAAAAAAATGTTCTTCTTGGTAAAATTTAAAAATTTTATATTCCGCATACATTTCAGAGTATAAAATCGTTGAGAAAAAAATGAAACTAATTTCTAAAAAAGTTGATTAATAAATTATGTAATAATTAAATATTTATAATTTAAAGTTGAAAATTAATTAAATTTTGAAAATTTTATGTGATCTTAAAATTCTGACCCAATAATTGATTTTTGATGTTTGTAGAACGAAAATTAGGGGAGGAAAGAAATTTTCGAGTAGATTTTTTTTTTTTTAGTGGATGAAACAACATATATATTATTTTAAGAGATTTTCAACATGGATTTATTCATCAGTGTTGCTAACGCGGCGTGAAATTCCGAAAAATTAACATTCCCGGTGTCACCAAGGGTGCCTTCTGAAGCATAATGCGAGTGCAAAGGAACTAAGGGTTGGCTCACGGTTGGCGATAGATAAGGGCCTCGCGATCAATATGCGCCAGCTACGCTCAGCCAGTAGCGTAGCTGGTTGAACACGTGTTCATCAAAAATGTGAATTATTCGCATTATTCATTAAAAAAAAAAAGAGCACACAAATTTAAAAAAAAACTGCCATTAAAGTACTTTCAAAAATTAAATTAATATTAAAAATAAAAAAAAAATTCTTTTTTTTTCTCATACTTTTTTTTATCTTCAATAAAAATTAATAAAAATTATTACTATTTCATATATATGTGAATAATAATTTTTCATATATATTATGATTTTTTAAAAACACCATATAAAATCGTACCTATGTATGTTGATGTAAAATATCCGCAGGCACTTTTTTAAATTAAAAATGGAAAGAATACCGACGACTTTTCATCTTTTATTTCCCACAGAAAAGAAAAATAGAATTTGCTGTGTAATTTTTAAAAATATTACTGATTTTTTTTATGGTGAATAATAATTCCTTTTTTTGTCAAAATTTTTCTATAATTTTTGTGATAAATACATATTAATTTATGCATTTGCATTTTATGTACTTATTATTATATTAATTGAAAGAAAATAAATTTTTTAATTAAAAAATTTTTAATTGAAAAATTCCAAAAGTTTTTTTAATTTAAAAATTTAATCAGAATCAAACTAGATTTTTTTTATCAAGTTTAAAAATTTTACAACGTAAAAGAAAATATATATTTAATTACTACATTTTATATTAATTTTATATCAAAATGGCAATGGAATTTTTTTTTTAATTTTAAGATTAATAATAGATTTTTAAAATTATTTAATAAAATAATTGTGAACTTTTGTCAAAAGCGGAATGCTCGACTTCAAAAGAAAGCTCAATATCTTTTATCGGAATGTCTTTTTATACGTCAATTCGGTTTCTTTCAAAAGATATAACATTTCTTCGATTGCATTAACTTCAATCAATTTTATTTACTTTTTTCCAATTCATCTGTAAAAGAAAAATTCGTATTATTTTATTATTAGATATCTTCAATAAATCTCATTAATTTCATATAAAATTCGGAATTTTAGAACTCTTAAGAATTTTTTTTTTGAAAATTTCAATTTTTTCTCTTATAATTTCTTTTTAATTTAATGAAAATTTAATTTTTTTTTCAATTTGCTATTTCAAATATTGGATAATTATTGAGAAACTTACCATTAATATTGAAAAATTTGTGATTTTTTTTAATTTTCCATAAATTTGGATTAAAATTTAGAGTCTAGCTAGTATGGAAAAAATTTGTTCATGATGAGAGTCCGAACCTTGGCATTGAAGTATACACCAACCCTTTTCTTTATTTTCCATTCGCTTTTCAGATTCTTGCTTTTTTCCGCCGTTTCACGAGTCTCTCTATTGTCCCGAGACTAGACGCGCAGACAAACTTTTCACCTGAGGCTCGTCGTTACTAAAGTTAGATGCATCCACCCTGTCTCTATATTATTCTGTCATTTTAACAACCATTATATATTATAATATTATATCACTTTTTTTTATCATTACATTATATTCGAATTTAAATCCTGTAACATAGATTATCGGCGTTAATTTCCACTATAAAGAAAATACATGTTTTAGAAAAAAATACAACTAAAAATTTTCAATAATTAAAATATATATTCGCATAAAAATAAATTGTTTTTCTCTAAAATTAAAGAGTAATTAAATATTAATAATAAAAATTTTGTCGCGAATTGACACAGAAAATTTTGTTTCCATTTTAAAAATGAATATTGGCTTTAAATTTTATGTTTTCTTTTTAAATAAAGATAAAGAGAGCACTAGGGAGACATAAAAATGTATGATCGAAATTCTAAAAAGAAAAAAAAAAAGAAAAGAAGTTCGTTTTCGCTTTACTTTTTTTTTCTTTCAATTATTTAACCAAGAGAGAGAGACAGAGAAGTGAAAATGTCCATAGATATAAATGGAAATAAAATAATAATATTTCATTTCAAAAAAGATCCACACTATTTTTCTATAGTTTCAAGTTTCTGGAAAAAAAAAGTTAGTTCTGAAGGTGAAAAAGTAACTTTTCTTGACAAGTTGCGATGCAACTTTAAAAGTTTTTTCCCAAGTTAGAAAATATGTTATATGAAAAAAAAAAAATGACAAGAATTTTTAATAATTTAAATAATTTGTGAATGTAATTTATACAGTATTCTCTTTTATGTGAGAAATTCGGAAAATAAAATAAGTAATCTTAGATTGAAAGAATATATAATTCATAAGATATAGTATATATGTTGAAAGATTTTTAAATTGAGAATTCTCTTCGAAAGATAGAGAAATTTCTTAAGATATCTACTGGGATTCGCAAGTTATTACTGTTTTTCATTCTGAATTCTCGCCAGCAATCTTGTGTTCTCTATTCTCTTGGGATAGGAAGATTCGACAATGTGAAATTGACAGATTGTATTAGTAGAACTTTACTTTCAAACTTTTACTCTCCCACAAAAAAAAAAAAAAATAAATAATACCATGAACAGAATGAGATTTTTTATTTAGAACCAGATGTGTGACCTCAAAAATTAAAATCAAAATTCGCTATTTTATGTCTATATTTTTTTTCTCGAATAATTTCGACGTAAAAAAAAACTTTACTGTCTTCCGTCTGCTTTTACTGCTTTTTCTTTACTTTTTTTACAATTGTGATAAATATTCATATCGTAAAAATTCATTCAGTCACAAACAAAACTTTTTTTACATGTTTTGGAAAAAATAGCAATTGAAATAAATAATTTTGTTTTCTAAATGAAAGAAATTTTAAAAATATATATAATTTCTTGAAAAGGAAAGAAACAACTTGATATTAAAATATACAGGGTGATTTTTATGTTCCGGACCCCCAAAATATCTTGAAAGGAAATAGTTTTCGAGAAAAATGTTGTATACAAAAGTTGTCAGGTTGAAAAAAATCTATTAAATTGAATAATTAAAAAACGGGCCCAGGGCCTTATGTGGGCCCTACAGACAAAAAAGTAAATTTTTTAAATGGAACCAAGTATTTTCAAACTCAGATTCTTGTAGCCAGTGATTTCCTCTTTTCAGACATGTGGTAACTTGTGGGCCCAAAGTTAAATTTGGGCCCAAAATTCGATTTTTTGTGGTTTTAAAGGTGATTTTAGTGTAACTTAGTACCAAGGGGTTTTCGGGGTCCCTGATTACGAATATGAAGTCAGTTTTTAAAAATTTTCAATAACGGACCCAAAATGACTAATTAAAAATGAAAAAAATTAAGGAAAATTATGAAACTTCATATTTTAGACTTATTTAGCCTTCTAATTGTTAATTAAATGTTACTTTTATTGCTTTTAAATTAGTATCATAAACCTTGGGGTAAAAAATAAGATTTTTACAAATTTTAAATTTATGGGCTTATAAGGCCCAAAATTCGTTTTTTTGTGATTTTAAAGGTGATGTTAGTGTGAATTAGTTCTAAGGGGTTTTTGGGGTCCCTTATTACGAATCTGAAATCAGTTTTAAAAAATTTTTAATAACGGACCCAGAATGACTGATTAAATATGAAAAAAATAAAGGAAAATAATGAAATTTCTCATTTTAGACTTATTTAGCCTTCTAATTGTTAATTCAATTTTACTTTTATTGCTTTTAATTTAGTATCATAAACCTTGGGGTAAAAAATTAGATTTTTACCAATTTTAATATTTACGGTCTTATAAGGCCCAAAATTAGATTTTCTTTGGTTTTAAAAATAATTTTAGTCTGACTTAGTTTCGAAGGGTTTTCGGGGTCCCAAATTATGAATCTGACATCGATTTTTAAAAATTCAAAACAGCGGACCAAAAATGACATAGAAATTAATAAAATTAAGGAAAATTATAAAACTTTTTATTTTAGACTTATTTAGCCTTCTAATTGTTAATGCAATGTTACTTTTATAGTTTTTAATTTAGTATCATAAACATTAAGGGAAAAAAAATTGATAGATTCTTACTAATATTAATGTTTAGGGGCTTATAAGGCTGAAAATTCTGTTTTTAGTTGTTTTAAAACTCATTTTTAATCAACAAAATTCGATTTTTTGTGGTTTTAAAGGGGATTTTAGTGTAAATTAGTTCTAAGGGGTTTTTGGGTTCCCTGATTACGTTTTAAATTCATTTTATTGTAACTTAGTTCCGATGGGTTTTCGAGCTTCTTGATTACGAATCTAAAATCAGTTTTTAAAAATTCAAAATAGCAGACCCAAAATGACTGATTAAAAATAAAAAAAATTAAGGAAAATTATGAAATTTATTATTTTAGACCTATTTAGCATTTTACTTGTTAACTTAATATTACTTTTACACAGCTCTAAATTTACTATCCTTTGGGGGCAAAAAGGAAGATTGGTTTATTTTTCAAATTTAAATTTTGGGGGCTTATGGGTTCTAAAATTGGATCTTCTGTGGTTTTAAGAGTCATTTTAGTTTAAGGAAACTTTCTGCTTTAGAATTGAAAAAAGACACGTTTTAAAACTTTTATTGTAAGGAAAGTATTAAATAAAATGCCAAAATTTTTTGGACATTGTTGCAAATTACATAGAGAAAATTAAAAAAAAAATTTTCAGTGTTTTTCATTTTTAATCAGTCTTTTTGGGTCCACTTTTTTGATTTTTTAAAAACTGATGTCCGATTTTTAATCAGGGACTACAAAGACCCCTTGGAAATAAGTCACACAAAATAACTTTTAAAACTACTGAAAATCTAATTTTGGGCCTTATAAGCCCCTAAATATTAAAATTGGTAAAAATCTAATTTTGTACCCCAAGGTTTATGATACTAAATTAAAAGCAATAAAAGTAAAATTGAATTAACAATTAGAAGGCTAAATAAGTCTAAAATAAGAAGTTTCATTATTTTCCTTCATTTTTTTCATATTTAATCAGTCATTCTGGGTCCGTTATTAAAAATTTTTAAAAACTGATTTCAGATTCGTAATCAGGGACCCCAAAAACCCCTTAGAACTAATTCACACTAACATCACCTTTAAAATCACAAAAAAACGAATTTTGGGCCTTATAAGCCCATAAATTTAAAATTTGTAAAAATCTTATTTTTTACCCCAAGGTTTATGATACTAATTTAAAAGCAATAAAAGTAACATTTAATTAACAATTAGAAGGCTAAATAAGTCTAAAATATGAAGTTTCATAATTTTCCTTAATTTTTTTCATTTTTAATTAGTCATTTTGGGTCCGTTATTGAAAATTTTTAAAAACTGACTTCATATTCGTAATCAGGGACCCCGAAAACCCCTTGGTACTAAGTTACACTAAAATCACCTTTAAAACCACAAAAAATCGAATTTTGGGCCCAAATTTAACTTTGGGCCCACAAGTTACCACATGTCTGAAAAGAGGAAATCACTGGCTACAAAAATCTGAGTTTGAAAATACTTGGTTCCATTTAAAAAATTTACTTTTTTGTCTGTAGGGCCCACATAAGGCCCTGGGCCCGTTTTTTAATTATTCAATTTAATAGATTTTTTTCAACCTGACAACTTTTGTATACAACATTTTTCTCAAAAACTATTTCCTTTCAAGATATTTTGGGGGTCCGGAACATAAAAATCACCCTGTATAGTTCAAACGACAAAGTTTGTTTACGCTCTGAAGCACTTTGGATAATTAAAAATGATTTATTAACGTTCTATATTGTGTTTTGCGAGAATAAAAAATTGTGAGAAAAGCATAATAATTAATTATATAAATCATATTTTTACGATATTTCTTGAGCATTATGTTTTCAACGAGTATTTTCTTTCTTAAAGATAATTTATTATTTAACCAGATTTAATCCATTATTCATGATTTTTGCGCGTTACGCAAATGTAAATACTCTCAAAAATTCTTAATATATATATAATTTATTCATATTCTTATTAAGGAAGCCAGCACGATAATAAGAATATTTACAAAAGAGTACAGAGTCTAACGAGATTGTTGTTTAAAAAAAAATGAATTTTTTTTCAAATTTCTTGAATAATCAATTGTAATAAATATTTACAAAAATTATTTATCGTGTAGGCAAATCATCATATATAATTTAAGAAATGCGGAATTGTCGGCGTCGCGACGCCGTGTCGACGATCGTTGGAATTTCATTATATTATACCAATTGGACAATTCTAATTTAATAGGAATTGTAGTTATTTGAAAAATATTTACTTGTTATTTATAAATACAAATCTGATCATAGTTGCAATAAAAATTGAAATCATAAAAAATTTGTTAGGTAAAAATTAAAATTAAATTATTTACCCTTAAATATAATTTTGGGAGGGAAATGAAATGCCTGAGAATATGAATTATTTCTTATATAGAGAGAATGATTCGTGTATTATTGATTTCTATATATCATCCCTCTCTTTATATTACGAAAGAAAGCACTTTATAAGTAGTTTCATTGAATAATAATAGAAACCATATATGAGACAGTTTTCATTTTTTATGATTCAATTCACTCTTTCAGACTTTTTAAAATTGAAAAACTTACTTTATTTTTCATTTTATAAACAGAAATTTTTTTCTTCGATATTAAAAACAAATCTAATTAGATTGATTCTTATAAAAAATATATTATTTATTGTTTATTTTATTGTAAAAATCAAGTTTTTAAAAATCGAAGAAAAATAGAAAAAAAAAATTATAATAATTTAGTAAATTGCTCGAATTTAACAATATTTTGTTATGTTCCTAAAGAATAAACAATATTTATTTATTATTAAATTTTTTATTTCTCAGATTAATGAAAAAATCGAATTTTATAGATGGCAGCATAATCCAATGTTTCAATTATATTTCTATATTATCTACTGAAGTTAAAATAATTTTTGAAATTCAATTTTCACAAAATCTTCATGAATTATTTTTTATACAACTTTATTGTCATTTCATACAAAAATATTATACAACTCTTGTATAATTTATTTATTTTTTTTTAAGAAGAAAAATATAGTTCAACAAACTTATTTAAATATCTTATAATTAATATTAGATATTTTGGTTCTTGCGATTAAACAAAATCACACTGGAAAACAGTTTTAAAATAATCTTAACATTTTTTAAAAACACTGTTTTTTTACATTAAACGAAACTTAAGTAAACTTAAAAATATTTGGTAGTCTTGTAAAAAAATACAGCCTGCTTTAATTAACTTTAATTAACTCGATGGCAAATCTGTTTCTTTCTTTTTCAACTGAAAGTACTTTGACTTCAACTGATTGACCAATTCCTAAAGTTATACCCTTCATATATTTATTAGGAATTAAACCATCACGAGAAACACCCGTATCAACAAATGCTCCAAAATGAGTCACATTTCTCACCACTCCATTTAAAGTGGAACCAGCTTTAAGACTATCAAGTGTAGTTAAACTACTTCTAAAAACTTGTTTATTTAATTTTGATCTTATATCATAACCTTTCGTTGACGTTAAACCTTTCACAATTATTTCAATTGTCTCTTCGTCAGTTGAAAATTTTTTAGCTAAATTTCCAAACGCCAAATTTGTTTGTGTCTTTACACAATTAATAAAAGTTTCCTTACCAAAATCATTAATATTAGAGTGACAAAATTGAATAATTTTATTCGCAATATCATAAGATTCAGGATGAATCCATGTTTGATCTAAATTATTTAATGGTTTACTTAATTTAGACTTACTTCCAGAAACAAGAGCAGTTTCAGGTACAATCCTTATAAATCCAGCGCACTGCTCATAAGTTTTATTTCCAATTCCTTTCACATTCAAAAGTTGAACACGATTAGTGAAACTTCCATTTTTTTTTCTCCAATCAATTATATTCGTTGCTTTTAATGCATTTAAACCAGCAATTTTCCTCAATAAACAATGAGATGCTGTATTTACATCAACACCAACAAAACTTACAGCTTCAGTTACAACCTAAAATAAAAAAAATATTTAGAAGAATATTTAAAAATAATTTATAATTAAAACTCACGGAATTAAGAGTGATATCCAATTGTTTTTCGGGAACATCATGCTGATACATTCCAACTCCCAAATGTTTTGGTTCTACTTTAACTAACTCGGCAAGGGGATCTTGTAATCTTCTTGCAATTGAAACTGCCGAAATTAGATTTGGATCCATATCAGGGAATTCTTTTTTTGCTTCTTCGCTACAACTGTAAATACTCGCTCCTGCTTCATTGATAATAGTAAATGAAACTTCCAAATGTCCAAAAGCCTTAGACTTTATTAAATCGGATAAGAATTTTTCTGTTTCACGACAAGCAGTCCCATTTCCCAAAGCAACAGATGTACATTCAAATTTTTCAACTAAATAAATAATTGTTTTCTCAGCTTCCTTAACACGTCCACTGTGAGGAAAAATTGTTTTTGTTTTAATAACATCACCATTTTCCGATACAACTGCAAGTTTACATCCATGATAAAATCCCGGATCAATACCCAACACTGGTTTACCCTTAAATGGAGGAGTGAGTATTAATTGTTTCAAATTTGTCGCAAACACTTCAATTGATGCAATTTCAGCTTTTTCATTCATTTCATTTCTAAAACGTCGCGCTATTGCTGGTTTAATACTTTTTTTATATGAATAATCATAACCAGCGTGAATTAATTCACGATGCATTTGTGTACAACGCACTGATTTTTGATAAAGATTTAATACATGATTTTTCAAATCTCTTTCAAATGAATCGGGAATTAAAATTTTTACTTGAAGAAATTTCTCCGATTCTCCTCGATTTATTGCTAGAATTTGGTATGATTTAATATGATTTTCATTAGATTTAAAATCGTAATATATCTCATATTTTTGAGAATCGAAATTTTTCTTTCCTCCTTTAAATTTTTTTTCTTCAGGAATACCTTTGTTAATTTTTGCAGCTTCTTCTTTTGCCGCTTTTCCTTCAGAGACTTCAATTTGAATTTGTGTTACTTTACGTAATTCACGAATTTTCTCAAATAATGTTTTATCTTTACTGATTAAATCCGATAAAATATGAACAATGCCTTCCTTTACTTCATTCACTGATTTTAATCCATCTTTAATTGGATTAATTAAAGTATATAAATTTGGAAGTTGTTGACCTTGAATAACGGCATTTGTTACAGGTTCCAAACCAAGTTCTCGTGCTTTTTCGGCTAAAGAACGTTTTGTTGTTTTAAACATTGAGGCAATATGTTCCAAATCATTAAGTGATTTTGTTGATTTAACAACAGCGTGAATATCGGGTGTCCATTTTCCCTGTTTATCAATAGTTTTAATAATTGTCGCAGCTTTGTGTCTAATTATTTTGGCTCGATCATAAAGCTCTCTGATTGTTCTAAGTTCTTCAGCTTCCATTCCACCGGTCATATTTTTTCTGTATCTTGCAATAAAGGGTATTGTGTTGTCCTCTTTAAAAAGTTCAACAATATTGTTCGCAATTCGATATCTAATATTTCCAACATCGCTGATATATTCTGCATCAGTCCATTCAATACATGGTAAACCATGAATATTTAGATTTAAATCACTTTCTTCGACTTCGGTTGAATCGTCAGTGCTTTGTGCCTAAAAAATTTGAATTAAATTCAGAAAAAATACCAAATTAAATTAAATTACTAACAAATAAATAATAACAAATAAATTAATAACAAACAAAAATTGACTAATTCAAAAGTGATTTGTTTAAAAAAATTATTTTATTTAATAAATGATTAATTTTTTGTTCAAAATACTAGAAGAGAATTTTTTAGAACTTGAATTTAATGAAAGTGTATTATTATAAGTTTTTTTATTATTATTATTAATCAAATTTATTAATTTTAAATTGTTGAATCAAAACATTAGGATAACTTGTAAGATATACTAACGTTATCAATTATCCAAGGTGTTTCTATGATAATATTATTGTTTTGCAAATTCTCTTCGTTGGAAGACTTTAATTGTAAATTACATTGAAATATTTCCTGTTTTTTTAAAGTTTTATAATAATTTGAAACTTCTTTTTTTATTTGAGGTGAACTGTGTATTTCAATTGGCTGTTGTTTTGCAAAATTTAATCCAGAACTTTGAGGTTGATTCCAAGTTGCCAATTTTTTATTATCTGGTATAACAGATATCGATTGTTTTGGATATTTGTTAATTTCAAAAGTTGTTTGAGGTAAAATAACTGTTCTTTGAATTGTCTGTTGTTTTAAAAAATTTGATCCAGAACTTTCAGGTTGATTTAAAGTTGAAAATATTTTATTATCTGGTATAACAGATATCGATTGTTTTGGATATTTGTTAATTTCAAAAGTTGTTTGAGGTAAAATAACTGTTCTTTGAATTGTCTGTTGTTTTAAAAAATTTGATCCAGAACTTTCAGGTTGCTTTAAAGTTGAAAATATTTTATTATCTGGTATAACAGATATCGATTGTTTTGGATATTTGTTAATTTCAGTTGTTATTTGAGATGTAATAATTGATTTTTGTTGTTGATTTGCAAAATTTAAGACAGATCTTTGAGATTGATTGGAAGTTGAACATCTTGTATTATCTATCCAAGTAGATACAGAAGGTTTTTCTATATCTCTCCTTGATTTTCGCGTTTTCTTAAATATTATTATACTTAATTAATTTAAGTAATTAATTAATAAAAGTGATTACTTTAATTGTTAATTACTTAACAAAAAAACAATTGAAGCTCCCGATTCAAAAACCGATTGGTTCTTAAATCGGGAGCTTCAATTGTTTTTTTGTTCTTTAATACAAAGCAAAGTTAAAGTGGTTAAAGTATATAATTATAAAAATTCATTTTATAATTAATATAATATTTATTAATAATTGGAAAATTAAAAATTTGTAGAAAATAATAAAATGTTCACCTGCTTACGTGAAAAAATGCAACCCATTCTATATAAATGAGTTAAAAATGTCTGATGATCACTATTGTTTCTTGTGGACTGTTTCTTATCTACAGATTATAATTATGATGGAAATTAGTATCCGATGTCGTTATCTACAACAGCTAACGGATTATCTCAAAGTATAATATTTCAGTTTTAAATTCCTTTATTGTTTAATCTAATTAATTTTATTGTTCCTTTCCCTCAAATCACCATTAACAATGATAAATTAATTTTTTTTTATCACAATGTTTAAAAACTGTTTTTTTTAACAGAAACACTAGTATAATTTCTTCAAAAATGTTTCTAAAAAAATCTCTTCTAGTTTTTTGTTTTGATACAAACAAACATACATAAATTATTATTTACGTATTCGAAATATGAAAAATCAACGGTAATAACGTAATATAAAAAGAATTTGCATCTTTATTATTCATACTTTTATAAATTAAATAGGTAGTAATCAAAAAGATTAAGAAAATCACAGAAAATATTGATAAATAAACAACCTGTTGAATTTTGTTTCAAAATCATAATATAAATATAGGTTAGGTTACCTGATCTGCTTCAGCTTTTGTTCGTTTTCGATTTTTCTTTCTTTCAGCCATTTTTATATTTCTATAAGCTTCTGCACGATGTCCAAAATCTTCTTCACAGTTATTTAAATATATATTAAATATTTGATCTTCAGAATCGTCGTTGAAATAATTGTCGAAATCATCGAAGTAGAGATCGAAGACATCATCGTAAAAGTCGTAATCGTTGTAATAATCATGGTAATAAGCCATTTTAAAATTTAATTTCCAGTACCAATTTAAAATATAAAACTTTGAAGTATCTTTAGAATTTTATTTATTTTAATTATTTTAAGTGATTAAAGTATAACACTACAAAATTAAGAGACGCATGAAAATCCCCTAAACTTCATATAACAGAAATGCCATTTGACAGAAATTTATATAACAGAAATTTTATTGGATAGAATATTTACACGGCAGTCGATTCATATAACAGACTTTTCATTGGGCAGACGTTTGATTGGACAGAATTTTTATTGAACAGAAATGTTACTTAACAGAAATTTTATCTGACAGAATTTCCATTCAACAGAACATAAGTATAGCAGAACTCTAATTGGTCATAATTTAACTTTTGCATCATACATTCTCATCCCTGCTATATTTTTAACTTGTCGGTAAAGTAGACGTAGAGGTCAGTAGTTGCTATTTCTTTCTCGCGCCAAAGTTTGAATATTAAATAATAAAACTAATATTTTATTTATTTATAATGATTCGGTATTCATTATCAATAATAATAATGAAATAAAATATTAGTTTTATTATTTAATATTCAAACTTTGGCGCGAGAAAGAAATAGCAACTACTGACCTCTACGTCTACTTTACCGACAAGTTAAAAATATAGCAGGGATGAGAATGTATGATGCAAAAGTTAAATTATGACCAATTAGAGTTCTGCTATACTTATGTTCTGTTGAATGGAAATTCTGTCAGATAAAATTTCTCTTAAGTGATATTTCTGTTCGATAAAAATTCTGTCCAATCAAACGTCTGTCCAATGAAAAGTCTGTTAAGGCCAAAGCAGAATAGATTCTTGAACGGGAACGCAACCGTGAACGGAAACGTAAGAATGAGTGAGAAAAGAATAAAGATATTTGTTATCCTTCTCTTACTCATTCTTACGTTTCCGTTTACGATTGCGTTCCCGTTCAAGAATCTATTCTGCTTAGGCCTTTATATGAATTGTCTGCCATATAAATATTCTGTCCAATGAAATTTCTGTTATATAAATTTCTGTCAAATGGCATTTCTGTTATATGAAGTTTAGGGGATTTTCATGCGTCTCAAAATTAAGACGATTAAGACTATAAACAAAAGAACGAGAGAAGTACGCGGGAAAACGTAACTTACGTATAGATTTGTAATATTTTGAATTATTTTATGTAAGTTAGAGGCGCGCTTATTTGAAATCATAAAAAAATAAAAATAGTATTGAATTTCCGCTTATTAGTTAATTAATTAATTTATATATTAAAAGTAATTAAACTATAAACTACATTATATTAAAACCAAAAATGTCAATTAAAAATCAATAATTAAACACTAAAATATAAAATTAAATGAAAGGTTTTTGAAAAAAAAAACAAATAGAATGTATATATATATTTTTCTCATTTTTATTATTTTCAAATTTCGCTTAGAACCCGAAAATTCTTTCACAATCTAATAATGGTAATAATAATCATAATATAATAATTGTAATAATAATCATAATAATTCATAGTAATTTAACGCCTGACAACGACGAAGTTTTTTTTATATATTATATATATTTATATATTTATATAAGCTAATCCTTCCACGTATGATATGATTTTTTTTTTTATTTTACTTATTTTACTTACGGGCAAAATCTTATTGCTTAATTCTTTTTCTTTAAATAGTATTATATATAATTACATATGATGATATGTTTTAGGTAGTCCCGCAAATATGCACAAGTTTGTGCAATGCCTCGCGTTGTGAGGCGGATTGGACGGATTAAAATGACACGATTAAAACATTCCTTAAATTGAGCAAATTTTTATTTTTCTACGACAAAAGTTTTTCTTTTTTTTTTTTTTATTAAGTTATGTAATGAAAAATCTAAAAATTTCTGAAAAATTGCCATTTATATGAAGCTCTAACAATTTTTAAAAATATTGTATTTAACTATTTTTTTGTAAATATACATTTATTTCCATAATACAAAGTTTTTTTTTTTTTTTGCATCAAATTCGGATTGAGTAAGAAATTTCTTTCGAATTTCAGAGTATTCACAATGCCCTTGTTTTGAAACTTTGTAAAATAGAATTTTTTTTTTTAAAGAAATTTTTGCTCAGTTTTTAGAATGTTTATAGTATCCACTCGACGAAGCCTCAGATTGTCAAAACTTCGTTCCTACTTTCATTTTTTTTTTTTTTTTTCTATGTTTTTTCGAATATTTTTTTTTACCGCCACTCTCTATTTATGTATACATTTAGTATTAGTGTCCCAACACAAAAATTCGATATACTTATCGACAATCACTACAAAGAACAATTTTGGTTTTTTTTTTATTTTAATAAATATATTTTAAATTAAAAAGAAAGTAAACTACGTCTACGGTTGAACTAAAGTTTACAATTGACAAAATATTAATTAAAAACAACTATTTTAAACAAAATAATTGAAACACAGTTAAAATAATTATAAACTAATACTTAAAAAATCACCTTTTCAATGCCGCTTTTTTTTGATAAAAAGATATAAATTAATAAATAAATTAAGAAAATATATTAATGCACGAGTATGTGTTTTCTATATACAAATACTTAGAAATTAAAATATTGTAAATAAATGAATTATAATTATAATTAAGAGAATGTAAAGATTGATTTTTTTTTTTGCAATTCTTCGAGTTTTCAAGAATTTTGTCTCGGGACATTGTGTATGTGTGTATGTGTATATAATATATATATAAGATTTTCTTCGACGCTGATCGCTACTGAAAAGTTATTATTTAAATATCACAATAACCTCACACAAAAAGCTGTAACTAGTTTTACTGGTTCTCTGCTTTATACGAATTATCCGCGATTACATCAAAAATTAGTTCAAGAAATACTAATTACTCGCTGTAAAAAGTCCCCCCCCCCAAAAAAAGAAAACAATTCTGTAATAAATATACTTTGAAGAAATTTATTTTTTGTGTATATTATAAATAAAAATGTTTATAAATAAAATATTAGATGACAGTAATTTATTTTATTACTATTCAAAAATTCAGAATCGTTTTCTTTTTTAATATAGGAAAAGTGTTTGTGTGATTAAATTTGTATCTGTGTGGTTGTATGTGTGTGTATAATGAAACATATATCGTTGGCCCTCATTTTTTTTTCATTAAACGCGCCCATACCAAATTCAATCTGAGAACCCTACAATTGACAATACTTTCATAATCTCTTCTACTTTCATTTGCTACACCTTCATTTTTTTTTTTTTTTTTTTTCTTGTAAAAATCCACAAACGGATTAATACATTTCATTATTAATTATAATATTCACATATATTCCAATTCTCTACTAAACGTACAACATTCTTCGTAAATTAAGTTAATTGCTAACATTAAGCATTCGATACTTTCATGCAAAAAGTAGCTGCATTCTTCTATTAATTCAGTATGATTATTAAATAATTATTGGTCGGTAAGATTCTTGTAAAAAAGTGGTCGAGCTCTCGACAAATCGATTGATCACTGTGAATCATTGTAAATATTCGAAAGCGCCAAAAAAAAAAAAGATTTAAAAAAAAAATATTAAATGGCCTTTCGACTTGTAACACTTAAAATGATAAACAATTGTTATATATAATTTTTTTTTCTCTAAATAGCCATAATTTTTCATTCTAAAGTCTCCATTTCTCTAAAAATTTGTCCCTTTTTTTTTATTAATTTATTTTCTTCTTTAAATAATTTATCGTGCATTTTGGACAAAAATTGTAATATTTTTTTCCTTATAAAGTCTTCGATGAAATTTTTCGAATGTATTTTTGCCATAAAATTATAATATTAAAAAACAATTAAAGTGATTCGCATGTTGCAATCAATTTTTTGAGAACATTCTGTCGATATATAATCGATCACGCAGACACGTCGATCAAAATTCACAAAAACATATAAAATATATTATAAATACCAAATAGAAAAAAATTGACGCATGATATATTTTTAATATTCCAAAAAAAATTAACAAATTTTTTAAAGAAGCCAATTTAAGTACAAATGAAATTAGTAAATTTTAATTAAATTCAAATTGCATTAATGAATTAATTTTAATTTTACAAAATTTCATTTCTATAATGAATTTCCCCCACAAAAAAAATCATCAGTAAAATTAAATTTCCAGAATTTCATATATATATAAGTTTCATTATCGTTGATCACAAGTGCGGAAGATTCTCCGTAATTACAAGACGTAGTTATATGTTGAGAAATTCCACTTATCTTATTCATATATTTTCAGTTCTCAATAACCTACGGTAATAATAAATTTTATAGAAAAATTTGACCTAAATTACATGTAATAATTGAGGTTACAATAATTCAATATAATATTTACAATAAAAATTAACAATATAAAATTTTTAATTTAATTATTTAATTAAATTTACCTCAAATAAACTTGATAATTAAGGTCAGCTATTGATTTCTTTAGATTATAATAAAATAAATCATGCGTCATAATTGAGGCTCTCTTTTTCTCTCTTTCTCTCTCATTCGAATTTTTCCTCACAAACAAAATTCAGTCATTCTCTCATATTTGGTACGCTCTATTTATTAACAGATGAATGCTAAGTACAAAAATCTGCAGAATCGCTGGAAAATGAAAAGCGTAACCAGAAACAAAGTTTCAAGTGTATAGCAAATTGATCCATTTTTTTTTCTCCTTTCAACTATATGAAATTATTATTGAAAGGTTTTATTTCTATAATCTAGAATATATATTTATATATAGCAATGTAATAGTTACGCTTTGTGATAAATTCAAGCGTGTCTGCGTGGGACGGGTGATGACACTTTCCTCGTTTTTTTTCCCCTCTCTAAATACTCTTCTTCTTCTTTAAGATTGAGTTTTACATCAAGTACTATTTTTTTTGCACAATATTCTTGTTAATTTGTACTTAAACGTTTCTCGAGAAGAAGAATAAATATCTAGAGAGAAAGTAACAAGTAACATTATTAACAAGGCGAGACCCTTTTTTTCAATGTGGACTTTATTAGACAAATACTTTCGTTAATTAAATTCATCTTATAAACTAATTTCTACTATTCTATAAAACACAGTACAGATATTATATTTATATAGTTTATATATAATTCTTTAATCGTTTCTTTTCTATATATAAACAAAAAAATGCGTCAGTCCACATTAAAAAATTTAAGATTATTTTATTCTTTTTTTTTTTTTACTCTTAAATGTAGGATATGATGAATTTCTTTCGATATGTCTTTTTTGCTTACAGTCAATATAAAGGCGACGAATTATATTTATTTACTTTCAAAGTACTCGCAAAACTCACTTGGACTTACAAATACAACCTATTACGATCCGTCAACGAATGTTTTATTTTTTCTTTATTTTTTTTTAAATAACATTTCACAGCTGATTTTTTTATTAGTAAAATGTTTGTGAGGTGCCTTTGTCTTTGGATCAATATTGACAATCTTTGGTGATTTGCTTTAATTGTTTTTTTTTAAATTTTTTCTTTCCACCTTCGTTGACATCGTTTTAAAGAGGAAAATTGTCACACTTATCGAAATATTATTTTTATTGCACAATATTTTAGTTTTAATAATTTATAAACGATTTAAAAATTATAATTAATGTATAATTCTAAATTAATTTTAATTTTGTGTAAAGATATAAAAATGATTAAAAAAAAAAAAATTTCAAAATTGTTAAAAAGAAAAGTGACATTTGATGTGAAAAAATTTTCTCTCTTTTAAACATATATATTTTATCCTAGCTTGCTTTCGTACAACAACACAGTTTTCCCTCGAAAAGTTCCCCCTAAGTCTTAAATTAAGCTCGCCTGACGTTCTTAACGCGAAATTATCATAGTCACGTTCTAAGTTTTTGTAAGTATTATAAAGAGTTGTTCTCGCGCGTGTATGGGTGTATGCGTGTATTGCATGATTCAGCGTATTAATATTAATAATAATATATTATTTATATATATATATATAATAATGTTATATAAAAGAAACAGAGTAGTTAAACCTATACTCTAGATACGGTACAAAATATCTGATTGACATGAGAAATTTTTATTTATCTTTTTTTTTTTAGTTCTCTCTTCTGTTTATGTGAATACGCAACATCTTACACACTTTTTTTTCACGAATCGTGATTTTTTTTTCTTGTATATATATATATTTATATATACATATATATTATCATGTATGTATATAACTCTAATACTTTTACGCAAATACCATTCTATGTATATATATAATATATATGTATATAATAGCGTACTTCTATTGATATGAATTAGTTTCACTTATAAAGCACTTCAAATCAACCTATTGATTCCAATGAATCTTATTTTTTTTTCTTTGTAATTTTTACTGAATATTGATTTATTAAATACTCAGAGAATTTGATAAGCTCTGCTGAAAATTCACGCCAGAACTATAATATTAGTTTTTTTATTTTGGTACACTTTCCAAACATTTATAATAATTTTTAGTTTTTATATTCACTAGATTCGAAATAAGTAGGTAACAAATATTTCTAATTTAACAAATTTGCTAGTTGATATGTTTTTTTTTTTCATCAGTTCCACCGAAAATTTTAAGCAGTTCTGAATTTCGGCATAATGATTAAGGCCGAGATGATTTGGTAATTTAATTTTCTAACAATTTTTTTTTCTTTTTTTGGAATTGATTTCTGTGAATTTTTCAATCTTGTTTTTTAAATATTAAAGTTTTTTTCACCAAATCATTTTCTTTTGCCCTATAACTTTTTCTTTTCTCGACCCGTTTGTAGAATTTTTGTTTTCTGTTCTTTTTTTTTTTTTTGGAGCGGTAAAAAGCACTTTAAACACTGCACCCCGACGCGAGAAACTTTTTTTTCCCCGCTCAGTATCGATTCTTCGACCCAACTACGATAAAATCCCTAGAATGTCGAATCACGCGATATTAAAGCTGCATTGCGGCTTGTGACTCGTTTCGTAATCGTCACGAAGGTGTTTTTTTTTCTTCTTCTATTATTTCTATTTTTCAAAGTTACCAAACACGCGATTTTATGTTAATAAAGCGATATTAAACGAATTTATGCGCTGCGATATTAAAAATTTATTACATCGCTGATTTTCAAAATTGACCTGTTTCTAATTTTTCTCTGATATTCAATTTTTTGATATGGAAAAAAAGGATTATTTTTAAATATAAAACATCTATTTTTGAGAATGGTTTTTTTAAAGTTTAAAACGTGGAATTAATCCAATCAGGAGCATATCCGCGACTTGGCGACGAATTAACTTTTTTTTTCGCGCGGTGATTAAAGGAGGAAATTGTACAATGAATGTAGTTAAGGAACAAAAATATTTAGACCGGATAATTCAACATTGCGTGAAATTGAAGCTGCGCGCTTCGGTTATTCACACTGCAACAAATTGTTATTATTTTCGATATAAAAAAAAATGTCTATCAAATTATTTTAGTATTTTTTATCCTTGAAATAAGTTGAAAAATTTTATCTTCCTACTTTCACTCTTTTCTTCGATTCTTTTTTTTTTTGTATTTGGAAATGTTTTCATTTAAACTTCTTTTTCACGAAAGGAATGTTGCTTCAATTAAAATTGCGGTTTAAAACGCAGAAATCAAAGACCGAGTAAAACGTCTAAATTTACCGTGTCGAACAGGAAAACGTCGATGCGTCGACGCGAGGGAAAAGAATCGAAAAAGAAAGCAGAACGATGGACCGCGGACTCGTTTACGGCTCTCCGAGGATAATTATATTACTCTGTAACGGTTACAGTCAAGCATTTGTACGTGCCCTTCCTTCCTTTCTTTCCTATCAACTTCTCGATATCTCTCTCGCTCTCTCGTATAGCGTGAGTTTAACTCGAATCAAAAGTGGATTCGTGTCTTGTACAAGTTCTACAACCATTTCCTCATAAAAATTCTTTCTAATACCATTCTTTTTTCGTCTTCTAATTTATCCTTCAATTTTTTTCCCTTAGAATATATCGAATTAAAATTAATCTATTTTAATTATAAATTAATAAAATAAAAAGGTTCACATAAATTGGAATTAAAATTCAAAAATTTTCAAAATTAAAAACTTTTAATTTGATGATCGAATTTATCTATCATATCTAAGGAAAATTGTCTTAAACATCTAAAAATGAGATTTCAATTAAAAGAAGAAGAAGAGACAAAATTAAGTGGAAAGAATCCCCTAAAATCGACCGGGAAATTTGAGAATCTCACCTCTCAGGGACGGTATTAAAGTCGGGAAGTTCGGATTTTCTGGTTTTCTCTTTGTTTTACACCAACGTGCTAAAACACCAAGAGATTCATTTTTCAGTTATTTTTCTCCCTCGACAATGTCGAGAGAGAGAGAGAGAGAGAGAGAAAATGAGAAGAAGTTCTTGTCGGCGTATTACGATTAATTACTCAACTACCACAGCATCGTTATTTTTCGTCGTTACTAATTGCGGATGCGTGTAATAAATGCCCAGTAATTTATTTCCTCATTTTTTTTTTCTAATCAGGAAAACAAAAACAAAATATAATCAAAAAGAAATTCACTCCTTTTTGATAAGTTTTCAAATATTTTTTAATTCCTTATATTGTTAAGAAATTTTTTTTTTTTTTAAATTTCGTTTTTAAATAGATTTTTTAATTTTTCGATTGAATAATTAAAAATTGACTTTTTTTGGAGGGGGGAGAGAAGAAATCGAAATTTGTTTCGCTAGATGAAAAATCGGGGGTCGGATTAAAGTCGGATCGACATTGACATTATGAAGTAACTTATGGTACAGACTTGACCAACAGGAAGGCACTTATGCAAATTACGTGCCGAGTTGGCTGTCGTTCTAGCACACGGGGCACACCTATATATATATATATAATATATAATATATATATCGTATTATTAGAGACAAATTGTTACGATATAAGTTTACTATTTTATACTTTAAATTTTTCACTAAGGATTCTTATCCTATTGATATGTTTGCATTCGTTATACAATTATTACTTTTTTTTTAATACTCTTTCTTAACTCTCGTTCTCGCGTTTAATTTTCTCACTCACCCACGCTCTTTTTTTTTTTCCTATGACAATTAAATTCTCTTTAACAAGATATTTCGCCTTCACGATTGCAGATGATAAAACGTAAATACATGTTTTCTTAGTAGGGCACCTTTGGTATTAAGCTTGCTGTTCGTGTTTTATTTAATTTTTTTTTCTCCAATTTCGCACGCGTATTTTCTATAGGCAGATAGTAGAAAATCACTTTCCTTCGATAATATCACTTCTAAGCGTGCATTTCGCACGATATTTTTTTTTTTAATATACAGAGAGATTCGCCTCTTTCTTTTCTCTCTCTTTAGCTCTTAATTAAAAGAAAATACAATCCCCTCGTAAAAATTTATTACAGAATTACTTTAATGACTAAAAAAAAAAAATCCTTTTCCCATAGCGCAAAGGAAATATTGCTACTTTTTTCGATAATTATTTATTTTATGAATTATTAAAAAAAAATTTAATTCTTTCAAAATGGAACATTTTTGTGAATAAGAATTATTTTTTAAGAGAAGAACAAAGAGGAGGCGTATCTCTAAGAAAAAATTCGTAATACGCGTGCTTTACTGCGCAATCAGATACTCGATTTACCTACAATTCGATAATAAGAGTGTTATACGACGTGGTGCGGGTGTTGTGAGTTTAACAGTGCCTTTTTACATACAAACGAATTTTTTTTTTTTTATCCGGTCCATTAAGACCATATAGGACGACAGTTATAATAAAAAAATTTTTAAAAAATTGTATATCGTTTCGAAAAAAAGAAACAATAATAGCCTTGACGAGAATAATGAGATTCGAATTAATAAATAATGTACCTATATACCTATATTTATTATTATATTATGCGCACTCAAAAAGCAGACCAGCGAGAATAGATTCAGGTCGATGTTTTTCGAAAATTTGGTCGTCCGTCAATTTTCTATTATATATTTTAATTCGTCGTTGAAAATAAATAATCGGCTGGCGTTTATTCGATTAAAAAATATATAGGTTTAGATACCTAAATTTATCAGCAATATCCCCATTCCCCCTCCCCCTCTCTACGAGAGAAGTCACGAATTAAGTTGCTCCGAATGCGCAAAATTTTTTCCTAGTGACTCCAAACTCTTCTTTTTTTTTGTCCGTTTCTGATTGTTCTTATTTTTAGCCTTTGTAATGAGTTTTTTTCCTTCGTTTTCTTTATTGGTTTTTGTCGTTGTCGATTTCATATATATATATTTATATATTTATATATTAGACGATTTGGTTTCTTCGGATTTTGAAATCACAAAAAAGCAGGCTCACTTTGGAATATTTATAAATTACATCCCGTTGATGTCGATTTTAAGGTTGCCCGTTTTCTTCTCCCTTTGATCCCTGAAAAAAGGAAACACTCAGTCATTAAAAAATAATTTTAATAATATTGTTGAGATTAAATTTTTTAAAATTTATTTTCGAATGGAAATTTTTCGATCAACATTAGAAGCACATTTTTTAAGAAACTAGGATTTTGTTTTTTTTTTTTCGAATTTATGTCAAATTTAACTTGATCAAATTTAATTATATTTATTCGACTACATTATTCTTTTAAAAAAAGGTGCTTAATATTGAGGTCACAAGAATTTAATTTGCAAATGAAATTTAGATCGGATTTAAATAAAATATTCAAGCAGAGCTTTTAAAACTTGAATTATTAAATTGATTAATTACTATTTAATATCAATGCATTAAGTGATCTTTAATTTAATTTTATAAAAAAAAGCTGAATCTAAATGAAATATGAGTTGCAAGAAATTAATAATTTATTACAGAAACAAAAATTTTTGAAGAGTGCTATAAAAATTCATAATTTCTGAAAATATTTCATTAATTGTAAAATATACACGGGTTATTAATCGCACTAATATTCACAGTTTTTTTTTAAAATAAAAATTGCATAATATTCATGCATAAATTCTTGAGAATTATTCTTCAATTCTTTTTTTGTTATAATTTTTTTTTCCTTTCTGGTAATTTTTGTTCTATTTGTGTAACACTTATTTACACATATTTTAGGGAAATGGAAATGGATAAAATAATTCAAATTCCTAATAATGGAATGTGGCTGTATAAATTAAAAAAAAAGGCTATTAAATACAAAAATGTCGTGCAAATCTTAAAAGTAAAGTCAAAAATGTGAATGAATATTTTCTTGACTGAAAAAAAGATTTATTATCCATTTTTTCGAATCAACAAAAATGTTCACTAGATATAAAAACCAAGGAAAGCAAAACGAACCGAATAGATCACATAAATTCTGCAAACGAAAAACATTATTTATTTTTAACAACAACAAAAAAAAAATTGCATCAAAGACTGAGAGAAAACTTGTTCAATCCTATAACTATTTTCAGTATCACTGAAATTGTAACTTGTTTCCATTTATCAATTTTTGGAATGATCTACTTTCATCTTATAATCATAGCTAAAGTATATAAATCTAGAATCATTTATAAAAAAAAAATATTATATTCACGTCTCTCCCCGTTGGTTTATTCAAGCCAAAATTTTCAGACCATGAAAAATGAAATAGGTCGCATTTTTCTCTCAGAAAAAGGTAGCGTCAAGATATAAACTCTGGTTCAGTAATTTTTCATCCAGTATGAATGTCTTAGGCAAAGAAGCAAAAATAAAAAAAATATATATTATATCCGTTTATATAAAGCGAAAGCTTGCGGCCATTGTCCCAATATCTTAAATGAACCGAGATTCAAAAAAACGACAATTAAAATACAAAAAAATAAAATAAAATAAATTATGCTCGTGGATTTTGTCCGATTTCAACATTTTTTTTTTTTAGAAATAAATATAAAAAAAATTTTTTTGAAACAAATTTCAGACAAAAAAATGAATAGAATTTTGGAAATAATAAATTTTGTTGCGGCCCACGCGTAATAAGCCCTGATCATAGATAGAATGAAACCTACTTCGATCCAGAGATTTGTAAAGCCCACCTCGGCCATTTTTGACTTTGCATATTCGATTCGTATTGCTCCCCGGTCGGAGGAGACCAGAAGGGATCCTTGAAGTGTGGCCATTGCTTGGGCCGCGTAGCGAACATCTTGATATTCGACAAAGGCCACTGGCGAGCCTCCCTTCGTATGCATACGAAGCCGACAGAAACCAGGAAAACTGTGCATAAACAAGAGAAGCGTACAATACGTGCTCTAGTTAGTAAAGTAAATTATACACCGTTAAAAATTACATCCCAACTATCACGATATATAAATACTTTCACCAATTTTTTTTTTTTTTTTTTTTTTTTTATCACTCGCGAAGAAAAATCCAATTAAAAAAAAAAAAAAGAATCTATCAAATTACATTGAGAAAAGTTAAATAGAAACTAGAAAATAAAATTTTTTCTGTTTTATAATTCAAACTACTTTCTTATTCCCTTTTTATAAGAGCAAAAAGAATTTCATTCAATATATATATATACTTCTAAGGAAGCGATTTACTTATTTATTCTTGCCATTACTTCGAAAGCCACCACTTTGAAAATTCTATCTACAAGTGCACTCTTTTTTATTTAGAAAAAAAAACCATTTTTAACGGTGTAGTTAAATTTGCACATTTATTGAAAATTGTTTTTATTAGTGAATGCAGAATTAGAAAAACAAGATTTATTTTTATTGATAAAATTTTTTTTTTAAATAATATTTTTAATTGGTGATCTCAGAGGTGAAGAAAGCGCAACGTTTTTCAAGCAAATATTTATATAATATGCATAGGTGGTTTTAACAATGAAATTGTGAAAATTAATTAAAACTGTGATATCTGGGTTATAGAGGAGAATGAAAAGTAATATGCTATTCACAATTGACCAGGTTTTTAGGTAATCAAATCCACTCCAAACAACTAAAACCGTCAGTCATAAAAATAAAAATCATTCTAGCAGAAAAATCTATCAAAAAAGTGTGTCTAAACTTTTAGATGAATTCATAGTTTCGTTAAATATTTCAAGTAATGAATTTCAAAAGCTTTTTTTCTTTTGTGTGAAAACAAAGTCGAAAAAAATTTTTTTATTTTGATAACTTATTAATCAAGAATTTAAAAAAAAAATTGGATAAAATACGAAATTAGATCAATTTTTTTTTTTTTGTAAATAATTGATTAATTCTGAATGATAATTTAACAGGGACATTATCATACAAGCTTTGTCGTTGATAATATTATTGATTATGGTAAAATGCCATGGGGTTTTGGAAACAGGGTTATACTATAGTGTACTTAACACAGACAACTACGTCAATGACGATGATTAGCGAATATTGGTAAGTACTAAACCAATGAGTAGACAAAATGATTTATAGGGCAGTCATCGATCACGCTAAACAATCAAACGCACTAACAAATGCACATACGGAATTTGTTTGATTAAATCGTTTGACAAAATCATTAATTATTCACAAAAAAATTTATTGTTCTCTCATTAGAATTAAAAAATACGAAATTCAAAGTAAAATTTTTTTTTCCATATGAAAAATTAAATGTAAATTCATTGAATTTATAATTTAGTTAAATAAAAATGTTAAATATAATTTGATTTAGAATTAATAAAAAAAATTCGGTTCAGTATTAAATCTACTTTATAGAATTTGATCTACGGGAAATTAAAATAGGAATTATCTTTTGAATCATGAGATTCAAAATATAAACATGCAACGTGAAATTTTTTTTTAAAAATTAATTTGAACTTTTCTCAGATTCAATTTTCTAATTTATAATTTACAAATGCTCTGACTCATTGAAAATGTTGTAAGACACAACTTATAATTATACATTGAATAATAATTTTTTTTTTTATAAAGTGCGAATCTTGTGCGATATAAAATTATCGATAAACGCGAAAATCAAATGTGGAAGTTTATATCTAAAATCGCAATTCTAAACACAGTCCTTTCCCCACAGATAGACTTATTCTATACGGTGTATGCGTTTTACTTGAAATCAGAGTTTAAGAAATATGTAAGCGAATAACGGTATAACGGTTTTCTGGGTAGAGCAGCTTGCTGATGTAATTTCACTCTAGAAATCCTGCTCCTGTAGACTGTAGAAAAACAAACTCTCCTCAAGTTTCAAAGAGAAACCTATTGATTTTCAAATCCTCTAATTCGCCTTTTTTTTATTATCTTTTTTTTCTGTTACAAAAAAAAAGAAAAATTAAATCAAATACAAAATAACTAGTTTAATAATTAAATCAAATCGTTTTTAAAAATATTTTTAAATACAAAAAAAAGGTTTTATAGTGAAAAAGAAAATATTTCGTAAATTTATGACTCTATTTTGTGTAGGACTTTCGGTTAATAAAACGAAATTCAAATCCTATTAAAAACGTTGAAAGAGGTTTCGTTTTTTTTTTTTTTTTTTGCAGAGAATTCGTTGTGAAATTGCTTCCTTCCAAAATTGGGCTTTTTAGATAAATTGCAAGCTTGAAAGACTCGCGTACGTTACACTGAGGATTAAAAGCCTCATACAAAAAAAAAAGCGAGGCTCATTGCTATGATTCATAAACGTATATAGTTTGCTTGCACTCATAATCGTGGGAAAGTACACTGCAGAACACGCAGATATTTTTTCACGAAAAAGAATCATATGCTTGCTCTCTGTGAGATCAACATTTCTCGAACTAGTTAAAAAAAAAATCTCGTTACACACCTTAAATATTTTTTTTTTCCATTCGAAATTATTATTCCATTCTTTTCGAATTTGATAGGAATTATTTTCTTTTTAAATAATTGTTTTACATTTTTTAAAATAATAAAAATAATTATTTATTATTTTCCAGGCAAATATTTATCTTTGGATAAAATATTTCTCCCTAATTTGAATTATATTGAGGAAAATAATATTTGAATATTTTTTGTTTAAATAAAGGGATGAAATTTTATTTTCGAGTAAATTTCATGCATACGTGCACTGTCATTTACTTCAATATTTCCGACTATATAGTCAATAAATCAATAAGCACCAGAAATTTCTAGATTAGAAACTTATAATTGAGTTTCGCTCTCTGGCTTGTTATATTCTGCAATAAAGGAATTATTATACAAGAGAAATCCGGGGAAATTATATATGTATGATCAAGTTAAATGTGAGAGGTTGAATATTTTTTTTAATGTTTCTTGTTTTTTTAAATTCTCATTTGCCAAAAAAAAAAATATTTCTTTTTTTGTTTTATCTAGAGTTGCTAATATAGAGCAAACTCGATTTAAAAAATTTTTTTTCATGCCTTCAGTTACACTTAAAGGCCATTTTAAATTAAAAGGTTTTTTTGAAATTAGATAGAGGTTTTTAAATTTTGAATATATCCTTCGTTCCTGAGGGCTTTTAAATTAAATCCCTTTCAAGTTTTAAGTTCTTTTCATGTCTTTAGTCATATATATGTTTGAATTCCTTTAATTCTTTGATATCAGAAATCTCTGTAATTAGTTTTACTGTTTTTTAAAAAAGGGCTATTGTCTTTCTACTTTAAAATAAGATTTTTAAATTTGTTATAGAATATTTGAAAATTAAAAATTTTTAAGAGAGAATTTAAAAAAAATTAATGTGTCAATTTTCAAGTGTCTTGTGAATTTAACACATTTTCGTTGAGAGATTCCTGATGTTGAAGAAATAAAGTGAGACAGGAGAAAATTGGCGAGAAAATAGAGGTTGACTGGATCCGACAACAATCTAAATCTAGTGTCTAGAAATGCATCAGTGAATCTCTAACCTGTTGAAGATCTCCTTGAGCTCGTGCTCTGAGACGAATTGTCCTAGGTTCGCCACGAATAGAGTCGAGCAGGGAGCATTACTAACGGCAATACTTGGTTGTGACGACGATGAACCTACTGGTGACGCCAATGCTGGTGATGGTAAAAAGTGCGGTAACGAGGCGTGTATCGACGTCAACGTAGTAGGATGCGGTAGTGACATAGGCGCCTAAAAAAATAAATACTATTGATAATTAATTAGTTTCAAATTAAAAAATTACAGCTAAAAACAGTATACATTTAAACATATAGACACACTCTTATCTTCTTTATCTAGCACCGAATATTATTAAAAAAAAAAAATTAATTACATTCCGTATCCTATATCTAAAGTTTTTTAATTTAAAAGGATTAATCAACTTTTTTCCCCTCACAGTGAGTAAATAATTTCTATTTTCCCAGAAAAATGTTTCTATCGAAGAAAACTGAGTTTTTTTCTATTTAAAAAAAAAATTGACTTTTCTTTCTAATTACCGGAAGATCTTGATTGAAAATTTTTATAAAAATTATATAGGTCTTTTTCATTATCAGTCAGATTATTTCTATTTCCGCTTGACTGAATTTTATAAAAAATTAATTAATAGATTTTTTTTTCGATTGTAGAAAAGGGATTTTCTTCAAAGGCAGAATTTTTTTTTTCGTGTTTCATGTCTTATCGTGTAATCTTATCATTACCTGAACCTCTCTGATGAATTTAATAGTTGTACGCTTGTTACGCGATTCGTATTACCTATATGAATATAATTATTAAATGCACGCGTGTGTGATCTACGGGCTTTGGAAATAAAATTAAATTAAAAAAAAAATTATACAAAATTAAATATCGAAATTAAGAAAAATTTCATAAAATAAAAATTATGCTAAATTTGATTTGATAATTTTCAAATAAGATGTAGCTAATTTAATCATTTATGATTTCACAAATTCAATAATATTGTGAGTAACTATCTAATTTTAATTATACAGGGGAAATGATAATTGGATATGTATATATGAATATTACATGAAAATCGTAAATTAATTATAATATTCTAAATGATAAGAATCAAATTAAATGGAAATTGTATTAAATGAAATTTTATAACAAATCACAAAATAACTTTTCTGGGGGATTTTGATTTTGTGTATCGATTGTCCGCTTCGTGTCGGTTTTTTTTTTATCAGTGTACCTACGATACATAAATTAAAATAAAATTCCGAAGCCTGATGTATTTATGTACGATTATAACCATCATGTGTCACTAACGTGCATCGGGGCGCTCGTCGGCGGCTCCAGAGCTTTGTCTGCAGATAGTCAAAGATAGGAACGTACGGGGACCTGAGGATGTAATGCGGGATGAACCAGCGTCGCATGTTGCAATGTCCCAGGTAATTCACCAGCCGTTGAATAAGCTAAGGGATGATGCCACAGTTCTGGACCACTCGGAAAGAATGGACTTCCTAGGGCTGTAAAATAGAATTTATTTATATTATTCTCCTGTGTTTAGTACTTAATTTATCAATTTTTTATTAACGTAAAATTTCCAAATTTCCTTTTTTTTCAAAAAACTATTTCTCTTCAATGTAAAATTCATCAATTTTCATTTTGAATTTTTTTAAATTTCAATTTATAATTTAATTGCAAATTTTTGTTATTTAATTAAAAAAAAAATTCAAATTTAAAAACAAATGAAATTATTAAGGATTTCAAAAGTGAATTTCCTCTCGGTGATTAAATTATAGAGTTTAAATTTAGTCCACATAGCATCAACTGACATTTCTGAATTTTGCAAATCAAATATCAGTAGGAGTAACTGTCTCGCTTTAATTATGCCGGGAAAATGATATTCCATTTTTGTCACAATGAAAAAAAAAAAAGACTCTAAAGGAAATTAAACGATAAAACAAGAGATATATGCGAGAGCACACTAAAGGGAGGAAAAAGTGGAAATATTGGAAATTTTACAACTCTATAAACTAGACGATTTATATAAGTTTCAAAACCTATTTCCTATATATAAATTGTGACAAATTTCAATTGAAAGTTATGAGAATCTTTATTGACGAGTGGTTTTCTAAATTCCGGCATTTGGAATTTATTCTGCCGCTAAAAAAACTTTATTTTATAAAAGCTGATGGTAGTTTTTAAATTTATGTATATCGTGGATATTTTATTCCAGTAATAATTATTTTCTAAAATATACAAAAAATAAATATTAAAAGAAATTGTCGGGGAAAATATCTAAAAAAAAAAATTGTAAAATTGAAAATTAAAATTCAAAGAGTCATTAAATGAAAATGAACTTTTGATGCAATTTCCTGGTGATTCGATTTTTATACACAAATAATAGAAGAGCTGAGAAAAATATTTAAATAACTGACCCAGTTTCAGGAACGATCGTTACTTAAAGATATCATTATATGTCTTTATATTTGGAATAATAAAAAAAGAAAGAAAAAAAACTTTTTCAAATACAATATTCACAATTTTCACATATATATATATTGTAGAAATTTTTTTTTTTTAAAATGTCCTAGTTGCAATATACAACTGTGTCATTGAAATGGACGTTAATGGGTTTTTTATACCGTGTATTTTGCAGATTACATTCTTAGATTAGATGCGAAGGATTGAGTTGTTTTAAAATTACTGCAATTAACATCAATATTTTTCTTTTTCTACATACATACGTTCCGGAAAATAGTTTAGAAAAAACTTTTCAGTGAAAGAATTTTGATTTTTCACGAATAAAAAATATTTAATTTTTTTTTTTTAATAAAACAAGTTTAATTTTTGTATGATAAAAAATGAGAAATATTTCTCTTCCCTAAAAAGTGCGTTAAAAAAAAAAGGTCAGTCCTTTAAGAAATCGATAGTAAATAATTTTTTTTAGTTTCTGGTTTCTGGAAAATATATCCGTATTGCGTGACAGAAAAACCCGCAGTAAATAGCATGTCATCAGATTATCTTCAAGATCACATTAGGACTTTTTGTGTTATATACTAACACATAGGAACTAATTCAATCGTCAACATGATAATGAAAATATTTTTTTTCCCCTTCGAGTCGCAATTTTCTTTGTTTAATCAATAAAAATAATTTTACATAAATATAAAAAGTTTGCTTTGAATTTACATTTATATAATTTGTTATTAACACTTTGTGTTTATTTGACAAAATTGAAGACTCTAATTTTGATAAGGTTTGAAATTGATCATTTTGTGATGATATTTTTTTTGTACTATTACATTTTTTTTTTCTCTCCAATAAAATCTGATTGTAGGTTCGTGACAATCGAAAAGATTGGTATAAAAATCGAATGATACTACATTGGACGTTATATGTCGAGTCAAACAAGATTTCATGCGAATAATTGAGATTGTGGCGACGAAGCATTGAGTCTATGTCTATTATTGTCTACACCTTTTTTTTTGCAGTTTAAGCTAGATGTCAATGTACTGGAAAATAATCCCCCAAATCCAATATTTCGAAGCCGATATTAGAAAAGCATAGTATGAAAAAATTGAGTTTTCTAGAAACAAGAGAAAGACAATGCAATTAATATCATCGTTACATAATTTATATAAATAGTCTAAATTAGTTTCGGTTATTTGGAGAAAAGCATCAAATTGATAATTATTGTTATGATATAGTTAGTAATTATTCCCTGAATTATATTTCAATTTTCAAACAAGCAAATCAAATAATTTTGATGTTCAACGAGTAAAAATATTTTGATAATTAAAAATGACTCATTTTTAGGAATTTTTTTTTGTTATTATTTACTAAGGGATAAATTTTCGAAATGAAATCCGAGGTTGACTTTAATATTTTATTGAGAGAAGTATTTGTACTATGTGAAGTTTGATGTGTTTTGGTACCTCGTATAACAAGTGAACGAAGCGTTTCTATGTTCGAGGTATAGCAACACTGTGCACTTTATTGATTCAGGAGTGACCTCTGATTCACACCACACACGTGGAAACTACATATAGTATATATATATATACCAAGGGAAAATTCTTCTCTTTAGAAATTTACCAATTTTAAAAATTTACCCCAATTCGCAAAGCTCTATTGTTATTGTTTTCACCGCATGTTATTAATTTTTGGTTTATTTGCATTTTTAATTTTTGTAACCAGAAACCATGAAATTTAACTAAAAACAAATTAAAAAAAAAATAATTACGAGGTCATTTTTCGAAAAAAAAATGTTTGGAAATTTAATACGGATTTTTTGTCCCAGTTTTTAAATAAATTATTTTTAATGGATTCTTTGCAATTTTATTTACAATTATTTACTTAATCATAGAATTTGATTTAAATCTTCCTGCAATAATTATTTTTTGATTAATATAAATATTTTCTTTTATTAGAATATTATAAAATAGAGGGAAAAATTATATTTCAATTCTTTCTCTAAATTTTTAACCCAATTTTATAAAAATAACTATTCTAAAAAAAAAGTTTTTCTCCGTCAGCACTTGTTCCTAAAAGTTTTAGACGTTAAATGCAATTTTTCACTCATGGATTTTTATAATTTTTGAATCAATATTATTGATTATTATATTTAAAATTATGCTAGGTAAAAAATAGAAAAAAAAAAATTGTTTCGGGAAAAATGAAAATAAAATAGGGCATTTGACACGATTTAAAATATTTTTAATAATATCCGTCGAGAACCGTTCGAGGCGTAGAATAGAATTTTTTTTTTTGAAATCGGTGCATTTTTGAGGGTGGAGGGTTTAGGTGTAAGGGGGATAGCGGGGGGTGAAAAAAGAAGGTTGTGAGAAAACGTACGTTTAATAATCAGCATGTGAATTTTGTGGCGGTGCATACTTACGTCCAGTTAGAGGGTGCATCAGAGCGGGGTGCGAGGTGGCTGCTGCAGCGGCTGGTTGCTTGGGTTTGCTAACCTTTGTGTTACTTTTTGCAAATTCCAAACGTATGGTTTGTGGCATATCAGGATCGAATCTAACCCCCTGCTGCAAATAGATCCCTAAATTAGTAAACGGGGAGCACACGTGGAATAAAATGTTGTGGAATGAGATTATGTGGAAGAGATAACTAATATAGAGGTGGCTAAATGGAAAAAGTAGGAGAACTACCGTGCCCAAGCTCGTTATACATATTGTATTACAATAAATATATAAAATATATACGATTTCAAGAATTTTTAATTCTACGTATAAAAAATGTTTCTAAAAAAAAATATCAAGCATACTTCTAATTGGAATCTCTATTCTCTTGCATTATATGGGATTAGTACAGGATTTTGCTTGTCCTTGATCCACTTGCTCATACTTTTTTTTTCCAAATGCATTTTAATTGCATCGATTTTAAATTATGAATAAAATTTCTACAAAATACTCCAAATCTGAATTAAAAAAGAAAAAAAAATTAGCTAATTTCCACTTATAGAAAAAGAAATTTTGTGAGTGTAGAGAAACTAATTAGTAATAATTCAATAATTAAAATTTTGAAAAGTTATTTTTTTGAAAGAACTGTGGATCCACATAACTCTTTGAATTTATAAAATTGGATTTTATTGTGAATGATACAATTGACGAGTGGGGCACGTGGTCCAATAAATTTTTTTTTTAGCGTGAGCGAGTGTGTCATCCGACAAAAGGATGTTTATTGAATGCAGGGAGACTGTTGCTGTCATAGTTGCTGTCTTTAGTAAAAAAAAAGGAAAAAAAAATACTGTTTATATTATTTTCTGATATACAGGATATACATTTTGCATTGCGTGAAGTCAGTTGCGTGGTGAGGTAAATAAAAAAAAATTAAAAAAAAATTAAAAAAAAATTAACAAGGTGTGATGCGCTCTCAAAGGCACGAAACAACACCATATCGAGTATAATATATGTTACGCACTGTGCAACCAGTAAACAATCGAAACAAGGGATTTGTCTTTTTCAACCTAATAAAGTAATTTTTTCACTTTCAAACCAAAAACGGAATTTTTTTTTCTCTTTTTTTGCAAATAAAGTAAAATTCTAATTAAAAATGTTTTTTTTTTTTGCAAAAAATTAAAAGGAAAAATATACTTTCACAATTTTCTGAAAGAAAAACAATTTATCTTTTCATTTGGAAAAAATAGCACTTTAAATTCGTTGTATATTTAAATTAAAAAGTTCGTTAACAAATTTTACCCCCGTTTCTGAATAATGAACACTTTTGTAAAATGTTAGTAAGCGAAGATTGCAGAATAGTGAATTTAACTCAACTTCTAGTTAACGTTGCAGCATTAATTAACACAGTCGACATAGGAATACAACCCGTACAACCAACGTCCACAGAATTTTCCCTCTCTTCGAGAGCTATAAACTGTTCAAAATATAATTGGACGGTTGCAGACTTGCATTCTGATATACAAAACACTTTCATTTAGTTAGTAAAAGTTTGTTTTGCATTATAAACTAAATAATTTATACATCCAATTGTATATATACAAGACTTTGTATACAGATGATTCTTTGAAAATAATTTTTTTAAATAATTTAAAATAATTTAAAATTATTTAAAATAACTTTTTAATTTTTTTTTCCTAACAATTATTGAAAATATTTATTTGTAAAAGAATTAAAATCAATTAATCAATTAAGTAAAATAATTTTAAAAATTGAAATTTGAAATTATAAATTTTATAGATTGAAAAAGAATCATCTTTTTATTGTATTTTAGTTTATTCAATAGAATATAATATTCATATCAAAATAGGTGTATTAAATACACAAGATTATCGACAAATCCCTTTTCTCGATGTTTCTGTATAGGATTGGTACGCAGAGGTACGGATATTGGCCTATTTATATTATGTATATAAAAGGTATTCAAAGTGTTGTACGGTTCTCCCAGATTTCAATAAAAGCTTATACAGTTTGAAAAAAAAACTATGTAACATTAACCCGTGCCAGCTGGTAGTAAGTCAGAGTGGAATATGTTTTTTTTGGTTGGAGTAAATAGAAAAAAAAAGAGATATAGAGATAGAAAAAAGACAGAGAGAAAAAAATACATGAAAAAGATAGATTTCAAAAAATAAAAAAAAAATAGAAAGAGAGAAGAGTTCGCGTGTCCTTCTAATTCCGAAGCTCGGCACGACTTTACGTTCTCGGTTTACTCGTTTTTTTTTCCTTTTCATTTTTTTTTTTGTCTTTCGCGAAACGGGGTATTACCTGTAAGTCTTGTTTCGCAGCCTCCGCACCTGCCCTCGTGTGAAAAGTCACGAAGCCCACCGGCTGAAATTTTAAAAAATTGAAATAAATATTAGATATAATTTTTTTTTTCAACAATCCTTATAAAAGCTTTTTTTTGTCATGATGTAACTTGTTTTAGGACCAGCAAAAAAAATTAATTCTTTTTCAAATAATAAAAATAAAACTATTCTCAAAAGGGAAAAACGTTTCTTAAAAGTATTGAAAATTCAAAATGATACCGAGGAAAAGCAAACTGGTCGTGAACTGTTTCGTATTGATTTTTAGACTTGTACCTAACCGTGCCAGAGACCGCGAGGCCACAAATAAAAATCACATTAAAAAAAACTTGGTCACTGCATATAAACTTTTCTTCGGCTATATACTCAACCCCAAAAACTCCTTAAACATTTTTAGCCTCTTAAATCCACGAAAAGCTTTCAGGAAAAAGCATAATTCATTTCTATTAGTTAAAAAAAAAAAAAAAAGAAAAGAAAAAGACCAACTTATCTTGAAAACGAAATCCTCAGTTTCAATTTAATTAAATTTTTACAAAATAAGAAAAAAAATTCATTCATTTAATTGAATTCAAAAAAATTTTAATTCCTTAATTGACATAAAAATAAAGATTTAAACTATTTTTTATATTCTCCAAAAAAATGTTTTTAAAAAATTAAAAACTAAACTCACCGATGCCGTTTTTCCATTTTTATTTGTGACTTTTAAGAGGGAACCCTCATAACCCTGAAACAAAAAAATAGTTTTCAATTAGAAATTTTATTTATTGGTAAATAAATTGTAAATTATAAGAATCTAATTTATCACTATTAGAGAAGATTCTTGTAATTTTACAAATACATATATCAAGTTAACTGTTAATGAGTATGTAAATTCATTTATTAGGGTAAAGTACAGGGCTTTCATTCCCGTTAATTAATGTACTTAATATCTATAGGATAAACCTCCATAAATTTCAAATCACAATAAAAAAAAGTCAATTATTAAAAAAATAAAAATTTCTTCCACCATAAAGCATTACCAATATTTTTTATCTCTTTTAAAAGTTATAATTAAATAAATACCACTAGGATAGTAATATTTTCTTATTAATTAGAAAAAAGTGACTCCGTTTTCCCAAAAGATATGAATTCATATAACTTTTTCCCATATTGTATACTGAATGTCTTCAACTTAATTAATGGATACAAATTAAAATTTTAATTAAGTAATTAATAGTTAGATTTTTATTACAATTAATCAATTAATTAAAAAAATTTTTTAATTTTTAGAAATTTAAATATAAGCTTTTATTTTTTTTAATTTATATAATTTTTTATATAAAATGAAACTGTCTTGTAGTATTAAAATAGTAATGTAATATTAAATATAAAAAATCATTATAAAAGTGACTCTACTTCTTGAGTTTACTCTTATTTATTATTTTCATAAAACTTTTTTCCTTGTACTTATTCATTTTAATATCTAGGCTCACGTTACTTTGCGACCACACACATTACGTATATATGAAAAATATATATATTCTAATATAATATTCTGAAAAATATTATAGCGTATTATTTAAAATAATTTCCGACTTTTTTTTTATTATCAATTATATTATTTTCTTTAAAGTAAAAAATAAATTTTTTTTCACACACAAAAAAAAAATGCAAGTTGCGCTTTATACTTTTGTAGATCATGTAGTGAAGTTAGGAACTATATACATTATAATACTATATTATAAAGTTTATGCTTACATAAAATACGAAACGATAAGCAGCTTACGTTCGCATCGTATAAAAGCCAAGATAAACGCAATGGAGTTACTTCTAAAAGGGAAGGAAGTAAGTATCTATCGATTCGCAAATATCCATAAATTTTAAACTATTCACAGATTTGCATATTGTTCTTGCTTTCAGAGATCGATATCAAATCTTCGACCGAAAGGTAATTTACCATGCAAAAAATTGTGCATTTAAAATTACATACAGAGATTTTTTTTTTTTCAATAAAACATATTTTGTAGGAATAAAAAATAATTTTTTTTTTTTTTTAATTTTCACCGGAAAATAAAAAATATTTTAGTGATATTTCTAAATAAATATTAAGTTAAATCAAGCATAGAAAAACAATTATAAAAATAAAATTATAGTTAAACAGTTGTAAGTACATTACACAGGATTACATGTATTAGAAAAAAAAATTTATCTAAGTATTGAGTATCGTCTAGCAGTGTGATTATATGAAGCCTTTCAACCGTTTGGCATCAAAGAGTTAAATAGTGTAGGGAAAAATAAACTACAGAAATCTGCAAAAAAAAAAAATTAAATAACATTTAAATTGCATTAATTTAAAATCTAAATTAGTTAAAATTTTAACTAATTCGAATCAATGACTGATTTTTTTATTAATAATAAAATTATTTAGTAAAATGAAAAATAAATACATAATTTATTAAAATAAATAATAAATTCTTTATTTTTAAATAATTCATAACAAAAAGACTGTGATTCAAATTATTTTAAAAAATTTTGAATAATTCAGTACGGATTATGATTTGTTTCTAAAAAAAAATTCTTTTTTGTTGAAAAACAAAATGAATAATTAAAGTAATATTTAATTACTTTTAGATAAAAGGACGTATTTTTTTAAAAACTTGTTAAATATTTCAAAAAAAAAAACATTTTACTTTATAAATTAAAAATATCCACAGATTTTTTTTAAATTCAGAAATAAAAAAATTTATGCTAACAATAATAATAAAATGTAATTATCCTAAATAAAGAAACAATTGGAAAATCGTGTAAAAAAGAAAGTACAACCAGCTTTGTGGTTTATCAAGAATGAACAAAAAAAAAGTCTGCGTTATTTATGTGTGTGAGTACATATTGCAAAAAAAAAAAAAAAATGCGAGTTTTAAAAGTTCTGTTTGCGTGAGCCGAACGATAATAAGTTTTACCAGTGTCTTGTATAATTATCTGGAGGTTTTGAAAACAACGAAGTAAAACCAATTCTAATTTGTGACCCTTTTTCTTTTCTCTCAACCTAATATCATAACCACTGGTTGGTATATAAACTCTTTTGTTACACTATATATATATATATAGCTTCCCATAAAATATGGTTCCATGTTATATATGCAATAACAATGAGAGAAATTACTGTGCAAGAGAATAATTTTCTACTATATTATTCGTGAGGTCGAATTCTCAGAGAACAAACTACCGAAAATAGTTTTGTGCGAAAATCAACGAAATTTGATGCGAAACAAAGTTTCTCCCCCATACATGTAAAAGTGGAGCTACTTTTTTTTTTTTTATTTAGATTAGAGAGAAGACCGTGCTTTGGTATTAAAAGTTTCGATTTCGGTTCAAATGTCAACGTATATCGATGGCTTTATACATTTGTAATTTAATTCCTTGTTATTCTGTATTATTTATTTTTTCCATTACATTATTTGTAATTAAATTGAGAATATTAATTTTCTAAAATAATAATTATATTAAAATCGTATTGAAAAAAAGCATATTTTTAAATTTCTTTCAATATTTTTTTACAATACATTCAACGATAATTCAATGCGTTTATTACCAATATTTAAAGAAAACAGAATCAATTATTGTCAGAGGATTGTATATTGAAATTTACTCTGTAAATTAATTAAACCGCTTATTTCGCCAGTTCGGAAATGAGAAAATAATTTTACAAATTTATCAATTTTAATCTATTGTCCATTTTAATTCTGATTTAAATATTTATTGATTGTTAAAATTTATTTTTTAATTTGTTGCTAATTGTAAAGAATAAAATGATCATTATTTTTTTTTATAATAAAAAAAAGAACAGGACATTTTTTGCATAATATAAAATAAATTTTCCAAATAAGTGATAATTTATTTTTACTTTAATATAAAGTGCAATTTAATATTCTATGTATATTATTAATGGAAAAATAGTTGAATGAACATTTTAAAAAGAACGACTTGACTGGATATATGCTATATAACGATTTGCTCAACTTGTTCATCCGTGAAACGGATGGCTTTGATCAGCCAGTCGTTTTCCAGCAGTGTAATCAACGTTTTTGAATGAATGTGTAATTGAAACCAAAATAATAATGATGATATACAGATAATCACATTGCAACGGCTAACCTTCAGACTATCAAAGATTTTTGATCCTTTTGATTATTACCAATGATTCATCAACCTATAAATTAATTTCAAATTTATATTATTAAACTTTATACACACACAATAATAATCGTATTATAAAAGCGTCTTTACATAATTATATATTATTTAAAAGCTTTTTAATTTTTTCTTCTCAATGAAAATAATTATATAAAATTATTCAACAAAAACAAATTATTGGAAATTACGTAAAAAAAAAGTGCCCCAATTAATAAGAATAATAAAATTTTGAGATATAAAATTTTTTTTACGCAGTAGATAAATTTTTATCATTGAAAATTTATAGACAAAAGAACAATAGAATACTAATCTATAAAGAACTCGTTTTCTTTTCTTTTGAGCTTTCTGATTTCCTGTGTTAAAAAAATGGGTTCGAAATTGAGGTTGCTTAATAATTGAAGCCTCGACAGGAAGTGCATCTCATGGCTAGATGAATATCTTAATCATCCTGGTGATTATGTACAAAAATAGTTCTAGAGTCACAAAGAATAAAACACACACATATAGTGTATTACGTGGTTTATGTATGTCTTGAAAAATCTTACGAACCGTATCCGCATTTCGTAAGATAATACTCCTACTTTAAAAGCTTGATTAATAGGTACATGTCCTTAAAAAAAAAGTTTGATTATCGCATTTAGACGTTATTTTTTAATTTTAATAAAACTCATTTTTTTTTCTTTATAAAATAAAATTTTTAAAAATTTATTTCATTCAAATAATTAAATAAAGTGAATAATTTTTGTATTTGAAGAAAATAGTATTTAATTGTCTCGAATACTATTTAATTTAAGCAAATAATATTTATTTAATAAAAATATAAATAAAAATTGTTTGAGTCAAATAATATTTATTTAGATCAAATAAAATTCTTTTTTTCCACTTTAATATTAAATTTATTTCTTTTAATTTTCACGAAATTTCGTCACAATCATAAATTGTTAAAATTTATTTTAGTTCACTAATTCTGAGAGAATATAGGAACATTATTAAGTTTATATATGTGTCGGTTCACTAGAGAGCACTATATATCTGACAGAACAATAGACATCTTAAGTGCTACCATAATTGACAAGTTATAGTCGTAATATTACTATATTACAACTATATCATGTCATACTTTGAACAATTATGGCTTCAAGCTTCAACAATCGAATAAAAGAGGTTAATTTTGTCGCATTATTAAAACAATAGTAATATTATTACAATTATTATTTTTATACAATACAAAATTATTTTTGTAATTTTTTTTTTTTTTTTTTTTTTATAATTTATAATTTAAATACTTATATTGAATTAAGGAATAATAAAAGAAAATCACTTTTGTAGTTTGCACTCTAGTAATTAGTTTCACCGAAAGCGTCAAAATGCGATAAAAAAAAAAACCTTGAAGCATGTAACATTCATCAAAAATCACGTAACACACTATACTGGCATAATTCGATTTAAAATTTTTCCATTTTCTTTTATTACGCGGATTATTTCATTATTTCTAGATTTCATATTCGAGCATTTGTCAAAAATAAATTTAAAAAAATTTTTTGCATCCCAACAGTAAATTATCTATTTTTTTTAAACATAATTGAAAATTTTTCATTAAAAGACAATTTCGTATTTTTTTTTTTTTTTGTACATAGAGTGTGATTTGATTTTGAGATTTATCTGATTATTTCGAAATTATAGTTTATATAGATTATGGTAACAAGTGGAACAAGTAAGTTTTGGTCAGACGCGACTTTCAAACCAACGTTAGCCGAAAAGAAAATAAATTGTATGTACTTTATCAGATAATCAATATCGTTTAGAACAAGTCGTAAAATAAAATGTTCTTGGCTATTAATGCGAAGGTCTAAACCAATACAAACTATTATTTTATTAATGAAACCTTCAATGTTTCAATTTCATTTTGTATAATTCGAGGAGAGAAAAATGATAATCAATATATCAAATAAGAAACAAAAGAATATAAATGAGAATTATTATTTAATAAATAAAAAAATAATGCTAATCAAATAATAAAAAAATTAAATTTTAAATCAATTTTTTTAAAATAATTATTTAAATAAAAAAATTGAAAATTCAACTTTGGACTGAAAATTTATTTTGCGCGAATTACGATGTTAACTTTCAACAGGATAAATTTTTTATTATTTTAATTTTGCGGTTTAATTGAAATATATATATATATATAAAACTGTTTGAATATTTTTGAAAAAAAATTCAGTAAATCGAGCTGCGGTTCGTATATAGATAATCTACACAAGGAATTGCATAATTACAGAATCTTGCACGAACCACGATCTGTGAACATGTAAACTCGGACAGATTGCGGTGAAACAGCACGCAACGATATACAAAAAAAAAAAAAATTATTCTAAGCATCATTTTTAAAATATATATTCTAAAGTCTATTTTATTACGCAGAAAAAAAGTTTTAAAAAAAATTTTTTTGGAAAAAATTAGTTGACATTTTATTATAAACCCTTCTTAGTGTTAATTTGACAAAAAAATTATGAAATTATTCTTGTACACGAATTTAATTAAATTTTATTACGCGCTGTGTAGGAAGAGTACGATATATATACATATATACTGTGTATAGTTTAACCAAAGAGGCACGCGCGAGTAAATGAGAAAATTGAGCACATTAAACATATTATTACAGAGTTCGTAGACTTCGTGTCAGTTCGTAGTGTATCTTCATTCGTTAACTTTACATTCAACGCGCAGCAACTTTCTGATGCTCTCAGACAACCTAGTTTCAAAATAAATGCTAGGCTATTTTCTCAAAATCATGCGCGAAACTTTCAAAAATAATTGCAAGATTTATACTTTTCTCTCTCTTTCTCTCTATATCCAAATATGGTATTATTTTTTACGAGTGTATATAATTAAGTAAAACAAAAATGAAGCAAGCAAAGCTAACAAATTTAAAAAAAAATTTAAAAACCCTGAATAAAAATTTATATTTTAAATATAAAAATTATTCGAATTGAATAAATTTTTTTTTTAGTTAATTAACAAAAACTATTATCTTTTAAAAAAAAATTTACAAGGATTGTATAACTATCTTGAATGTGGTTATACTATCGTTGGATGTACTATAATTTAATTATGACAACTATGATTGAAATTATACCATTGATTGTAATTATTATCAGCTCAACTGTAACTACCATAATCTAACTATTATCGACTGTTCGAACTATTATCGACTATCAGGGACGTAAACTGAAAAAAAATATTCATTTGATTCAAATAATCACTGATTCTTTCTTATCAAATAAATATTTATTTTTTCAAATAATTAAATTAAATTCCATTGAAATTATTCGGTAATAAATATTTATTTTGTAAGTATAACGGATTATTTAAATCAAATACATTTTTTTGTCAATTATTTTTTGTAGATAAATAAAAAAAGTTGATTATTGAATTTTTTAAGAGAAACAATTTCTCTTACCAGTCAAGGGGTTAATTACAAAGTGATTGAAAATAATAAAAAAAAAGATATTTTTAACTTTCACCGAGATTTAAAGCGTCTTAAATATAAAAAAAAGAAAAGAAAAATAAAATAATAAAATAAAACTAACCTCGTATGCTCTGAAGAGAAGATAGAGCTCCCTTGGCTTGGCGTCCATCGGCAAGCCGCTCACGAACAAGGTGCGCACCTGAAAAGAGAAAGAAGAAGAGAACGATAATTGAGTTAATTAAGGTAATTGCTAGACGGGCCTGACAGAGATAAGGGAATGGACTTCTTGGTTTGACTTGTACTTAAGCCGAATCGATAGTCAATTGCGGAATTAATAAGCAGTCTCTTTTTCTCTTTCTTATGAAAAACTCATTTCTTAATTTCCTCTCTCATCAAAACGTTTAGTCTACATATATATATAATTCACTTAAAAAAAAAAAAAATTAAAACCATTTTCACATTATACGCGCACTTAATACACAGAGCTTTTAAATTACTGATAAAATTTTACCAAACAATTTATATTATTTTTAAATAACAAAAACAAAATTCAAATTTTTTTCTAAATCATTTTTTAAGAATAGAAAATTATAGACAATAATAATTTTATTTAAAAAATATCGAATATGATGAAAAATTAATAGACTTTCAATCAATCAAAGTTAATGAAATTTTAAACGTGAAAAGTGATATAAAAGTTTCATATTTTTTTATTTGCGATAAAAGTTTTGGAAAAATGCTGTTTTTAAAGGCAATTAAATTGTGGTGCATTTCATACTCAACTAAAATCGAAATGAACGAAAAGCTGTCCAATTTGGAATATTAAATCACGTGTTTCCGTCGGATATTAATAAAATTTCGATATCCTGGTAATTTTTTTTTTTTTTTAAATGTATACACGAAAGTGTTTGATAAAGCCCACAGGGACAAAATAAATCTTATCAACATTTTCCCCCCTGTATCATATAATCGCCCTACCCCTTGAGGCTCATGATCAAATTAATAAACTTCATATTTTAATCCTCTCGCTTTCTTTTCTCTTTAATCTTAGTTTTAAAGAAAATATCTCCATCAAATTTCAGTTATATTTTTTATAAACAAAAAGAAATTGAAAAAAATTTATAATTTAATATTTTTCAAATATTATTAAATTGACAATTTTATAATTTCTTTACAATTTCTTTTGCTTTGGCCTCAATTGATTTTTTAAATATTTAAAAGAAACTTTAATGAACTAAATTTTCTTCAAAGTTTATAGAATTGAAAGATATAACAATAATTTTTATCAATGGAATATTTAATAAAAAAAAATTATAATTTCTGTTTGAAAAGTTTTTAAACTAGATTGATACGTCATTGGTTGATTGTTTGATGATAGAATGTAAAGAGAATCTTTTTTAGTATAAAGAAAAAAAAATGATAATAATTTATTCCATATCCTATCAGTAAAGTTGTCATATATACATGCATATGTAATTGACCGCAACGAAGCGATGACTTTAGCAGAGTGTTTATAGCTGAATCGATAAAAATGATGCATGCCCAGAATATATATGTGTGAACTCGCATTTCGAATATATTGCGTTATAATTGACATTTTGTCCATCTGTTCATTGCGAACAATATCATATATATATATTCTAAAATCATTTATCAAAATAATTAATAGTGCTGACATTTAATTCTTTCTCTTTATTCATTCATCAAAATTGATTCCCATAATATCTAGTAATAATTATTAACAATATTATTCATCTAGGTACGGCAAAATTACCTATATTTATTATTGTAAATTAAAATAATCTTCAAAAATATTTCTTTTTTTTTCCCAATGAAATTTTTTAGTTCACAATAATAAATGTTTAATTAATTACTAATCATAATAAAATTTAAATATTAAATTGATTAAATTAAATTTATAATCAAAATGATTAAATTTAATTTAAAACTAAATTTACTAGATATTTTTACAAATATTAAATATATTTAATTGTAAAGTATTTAATAGAAAAAAAATAATTCAACTAAAAAATTACTAATCACTGATTAATTATTAATATTTTTGTTTTTTATTCAAGTGGGATGAAAGTTTGATTGTAGAATAATTTACTATGATTCATATTCAGGGGTAAGGTATTTTTTCGAAATAAATAAAATATTTATATCTAAGTCGAAAATTTTAAAGTAATAAAGGATACTATAACAATGGATAAATGATTTAAAAAGATTTCTATTTTAAAAATAAACTTTTTCTCGCACGTATATATATTTTCTGCGACAAGAAAAGAAAGAGGTTTACTATTAAATGTGTTAAGATGTATATATACATATATACTTGAAGTCACAGAGTCAAACTCAGAATTTACAGCACGTCAGTAAGAAACAAGAATTGTACATTTATATTTAAGATTCTCTCTCTCTTTCTCTCGGAGGCAAAAATTGTTAAACGTAATGCTAAAGCCGCGCGCGCCTTCTTTTGCATAAAAAATGACTACTTCTCTCAACCATTTGTTTTCTCACGCAGTTAGTTTCCACATTTTACGATTCATTTTTTTTCTCTCTTTTTTTTTGTAAATTCTAAATTTTTGCTTTATTTTTTTGATTTGATTAAAAATTGTCTTTGTGACAAACGACAAAATAAAATATAGAATGTTTTTTTTATAAAAAGAAAAATTGATAACTATTTTTTTCATCGTGCGAAAGAAATTTGAGTGTAATATACGATATATGAGATTCATCAATACGTCTGGAAGAGAAAATTTTTCTACTTGACGGCTGACCAATATCATCCTCATCTACTGAAAAAGTGAAGGAACCGTATATATAAACATACACATACACTGATGATGTGTAATCAATACCGAAATTTTATTCGCTTTACTGACATAAATGTCAATAATTTTTTTTTTTCCTTTTTTTTTGAAAAAAAAATATTACAAAATTTATAAAATATTCAAACAATTTTGCATCATAATTGCGTGTTTGTTATTTTTAAATATATATGAGAGAGTGAAAATTGAATTGCAAGAGAAAATTAATTAAAAGTATACAAATGTTCAATTTTTTTTTTTTATTATTTTTAGAAAACAGGTATATAATTTTAAAAAATAAACGGAAAAAGGGTGTTCAGGTTGAGGCATTCTAGTAAATAAATATATACAATGTGTTGAGTATGTATAATGAGATTATATATACATAGATGCAATTTATATGGACACTATATTCGTGTGAAGAACTATCTTGTTGAAAACAAGTCTGTGCTCATCGAACCTGAACTCCGGTATTTTATTTAAGTTTCAAGCGGAACCACGCTTTTCGCTCCTCTATTCTCTTTCGCGAGCTATACAAAAAAAAATTTTGATTTTGTCATCCTCAGCAGACCATATAGAAATTACAACAAAAAATTTTTTTTTTTTTAAATTCCTCTAATTCGTTTCAACAAAAAAGAAAAAAAACAGATTTGAATCTTATTATTAAAAATCAGAGAAAAATTGACTATAGATTTTCAGTGAAATATATTTTTAAATAATTGTTTTTTAATAGACGGCAATGTCAAAGACCTAAGCTCTACATTTAGCTGACGATGTAACACTCTGTAGGGGCGAAAAGAAGATCATAAAAGATGCAATCGTGAATAGGCGATAGGTCGAGAGATGTGTGTGTATATATGAGCGCATCAACCAGCGTACATTACAATTGGTTTGACCTCGCATGCTTTTATTATTGATACCTATACCACAGCCTAGTACTATCTTTACTACTTTTCTTATATACAGTTGAAAAAACAAAACAAAAACCAGAATAATTTTTAAAAGAAAATTTCCCATTTTTAGAAAAATCCATATTAAAAAAATAAATATAATTATTGCGTCTAAAAAATTGTTTTTTTTTTAAATGAAAGAAGAATTTTAAAATTGAAAGAAATGTCGATATTTACACCATAAATTTTTTCTTTAAGATTTAATTACTGATACTGAACTTAATTGATTGTATTTATAAAAGTGATGAGAGAAAAGTTTAATGAGCACAAAAGAGAATTGATCGCGAGGGAAAATTGAAAGTATATACTTTGCGGGTAAAAAAGTTATTTTCTACGCCACTGGCAAAATCTATATAGTACAGACATAGCGGCGACGTTGAGTCTGCCTTGCCTTAGAACAGGGGAACCGAGTAGTACAGCGCACGGCGATCACTTATTCATGTGCCCAAGAAATGATTCCGCCCTTCTCTGTTATTACTCGACCAACCTTATGGTGAAACACACCAAGTCTCATATAGCGAGTGTTACAATCCAAATTAAATGCCTAATATATTGAGAAAAAAAAACGAAGAAGAAGATAAAGCTTCTCTGACCACTTTAAACTTTATGAAAAATTTAAAGAAGAAAGGATTCTTCAATTTAGTAGCTAAAAGCTTACTTTTAATCGGCAAAATTATGAAATGAAAGAATCTTTTTTTTTTTTTTCATGAAGAATTAAAATAGAAGAAGAAATTTCTTATCTGAAACATGAAAAAAGAAAAACGAATTAGAAATGCAATACAGCAGTTGAAATTTTATTCTACATTTTCCTTGGAATACTATAGATTTTCGTTATCTTGAAATAGAAGCATAGATTTGCGTTAGGCGCATTGTTCCAGATTCTACTCCACGTCTCAATTTTACTATTCTCGTAAAATGTATAAGAGTCATAAAAAAGATTAAGTTTAACCCGATAGTGTCAAACGATTTATTTCATAATATTGAGGTAATTTTACAAGGTAATTTTGAAACGACTATATAGATATAAAAGTTAGAAAACACACACCTGGCTGAAACGAGCGTGATCGAATTCGACATGCGCACTGTCAGATCGAAACTTGTTGTCATAGCAATGATGTATAATACGGACCTTTCGTTAAATTACTGTTTCATTGATCGATTTCATGTTTACAAGATTTGTGTTTTAGTTGATGGCAAAAAAAAAGGAAAAATCATTATTTTCATTTAGAAAATTATTATCTATAAGATTTTATGTAAACACAACAATATTGAAAATTAATATTTGTACATTAAAATCTCACATAACTATAATAGATTTTCACAGCTTGTATAGTAAATCGGCTAGTTAATTATTACCAAAATCTAGTTTGATTGTGTGTGCGTGTGTGAATTGAATATAACGTAATTGCATTTCTGTAATATATGCAAATTAGGAAATG